CTAGCTATGTTCACCCGGGCTTGATTTCCTCTTTGATCGTTTTTTTTTGCTTTAGTTCCCTCTTCTCCTCCTCACTGTTGCGTTGTTTGGGCTGTTTTGCTGTGTATGCAGTTACAGCCAGACGAGGTATAGCCGCTATCAGCTAACATGCTGCTCTTGTTTACCAGCGCTGCAGACGCTAGAGGACGCAGCCTGTTCCTGCTCCTCGTTCTGTGAGTGGAAGAGAGCAGAGTTTCTACTTAGCACTTTTTACGGCCTAAATTCATACACAAGCTGAATCAATGAGCTCAAGTTTTCAGTTAAATTACGGATTATAATACAACTTGTATGTAGTATTGAGTATATTTATGAAATCATTAATAAAAAATAAAAAAATTGGGTAGTGCTTCTTTATTGATGACTTGACATGCCAAGCTTACATATTGCTAATTTAAAGACAAATAGTTAGTAATAAAGTCAAAAAGAAATGGAAATAGATTGGGGCGATGTAAAGGAAAAAAGATGTATTACCCCTTCTTGCTGCTAAGATGTACATTTACAGATTTGTTGGAGAGTTGCATGGCTCATTTATTATGTTTCATTTTTATCTGTGTGCTTCATTTTATTTTTTTAGGCTTACACAATTAACTTTTAATTAAATTTGCATTTGGCGTATGGCTTCTCTGAGGACGTGCTCCTGATAAAAGCTCGGTGGCACTGGGGAAGGTTAAGCTGCCCGTGTTTGCCCCCTCTCAGGACGAGCAGATATCATTGTGTTAAGCCGATACACCTCAGCAAGCTCAGCACTCTACAGCTCTGGGGCTTCCACCTCCGCCGCCGGCCGGTTATCTGAAGTCCACACACCCTGGAAAACTCAATTCTTAACCAAGGAAAATGGAACCCAAGGCGCACGATTTAGTCCTCTCTCACCATACCACGTTTGAATTTTTAATGCTTTGTTTGTCCTCAGACAGTTGATTTGGTCCCATTGGGGCTATTACAGCTGATGGCTTATGTGGAGAGAACTAAACATGGACTGTTACTGGTTCAAAGTAAAGTTTAACTATAAAATAAATAAATGTTTAAAAATGTACTTTTATCACAGGTTTTTGTTACAATTCAAGCAAAGGTGACAAAGTTTGCAATGTGAGTGGTGCTTTAAATCTACTGGTGTCCACATTCACTATTTACTTTGTGTCACTCGGTTTGTTCGTTCCTTTTGTTTTAATTCATAAAACATTTAAGGAGGTTCTTATTGTCTTCAGGAGGTTGCTTTTTCAAATGCAGTCCCTATAATGGACACAGTATTATTTATATTCTAGAAGCACTCAACCAAATTTGCAAATCCCATTTTTAGCTGCAGCCATCAGGGATGGAGGAAAGCCAAAGACATGAGTTCTGTAAACTGCTGCGAAGGATTGTGCAACGACGACAACAGATAAATATGACCCTGAATGTTTGATTTCGGTGTTACAATTCTACTAACTTATGTGGGTTTGCTCTTGATAATCTTCACATTTTGGCTGCACAATATATTGAAAATTAAATATCATGATAATGTCATGTGCAATATTTATATACCTGTGATGTGTGGTTTATAAAGAAATTCTGAAATATTGGAGTATTTTGGCTTCAGAAGATATTGCATTTTACAGAAACAAGATGGAATACATTGGGTTAATGCAAATATCACTTGTTTTAAGGGAAGAAGATATTGCAATGTATATATTTATTGCAGGCCCCGATACCAGGATTGCATATCACACTTATTTGCTCTGCTGTGTGTACCAGTGTATAGTGTGGGTACTCTCAGTCTGCAGTCTGTGCTACAATTAGGCCCGGCTCGTAGTGCGACCGTCATTATTATGTCTCCGCTGCCTCCATCTCTGCCCTTTGTCTCCGCACAGCAGCATTGCAGCAGGGGAGCAGCAGGAGCAAGCGCTAGAGCAGTGAACCAGATTTACATGGATCACGATCATACACAAATGACGGATACAGAGTAGTGCGGTGGCTTGTCTGGGGCAGCAGTAGGTAATGGGAGTGGTTGTGACAATATGCATATTGCATTGCTTTGCTTTTTGAACGCACTAAGCATTTAAAATAAGGATGTTAAGACCTTATGGAGCTGTAATCAACCAACAACCAAAGAGTAGCTGTCCCAAACTGAAGCTATATTTTTTTAAGATGACAATTTAGGCATAATAATATAAATTTTAATAACATGGTATATATATTAGTGATATAAATAATATGGATTAGATAGATATATATTAGACACTTGATCCCCAGTAGCAGAGATTCATGTGTCCAGTAGCAGCAAAAATACAAAATAAAATTGATCATTCTAAAAAGTTGTCAATAGTAATAATAAGCAACAGCCCTTCAAGTTACAGCAGCAGAGGTGGAGTAGCCGTTGGGTGGAGCAGGACAGGTCACAAGGTGGAGTAGCCGCTTGGTTCAGACCATTTTCTCTGCTCTACTCCAATTTTTTTTTTTTTTATTTATCCTTCCCTTCCCACTATGGATTTTTGTCTGATCCGCTTGGTTCGGACCATGAATCCTTTCTGCTCCGGTCTGGACCAGTTCAAAACCATGAACACTGTACTGCAGCAAAATCCCAGGGAGAAAAAGCAAGAAAATTAAAATTGGTAAAGCACAAAACAACTGTTTCAGAGATACTTAGGACTTGGATTAAACATGTGAATTGAGAGTGTGATTTTGCTAATGGATTAACCAACTAAATCATAAATATTGATAGCCTCAGGACATTCTACTAAAACTTTTTGTTCTGTCATTTTTTATAATACTGTATGTTTTCAAACAGTTTTTTCCTCGTCTGACTTCCAGCCTTTGGTGAGAGTACCTGTAGCACACGTCCCTTTGTGTGTTTACTGTAATAACCTGTCTGCTATCAGGGCTGACCAGTTTGCTCTTGTTGTACCAGCTGTAGTGTTTTCCATAACACCTGACTCTCCACTGTCTTTTGGCCTGGAGACATGGAGACAGCTGAGAGGGTGTGTGTGTACCAGTGCCCACACATGATCTGCAGGCACAACTCCAGCTCTTGTTGCTAATAATAAGAAGCATAAATCTAAATCTGAACTGTGTTACATAATTTACATCACACGTTATCTGGGGACAGTGTCACCTGGCAGCCAAGTGAGTGAAATCTTTGTTCTTTGAAATACAGAGGGTTAAAGTACAGAATGTAAATCTTTATCCCTCACAAAAAGAACAAGTTGAGGAGTACAGCATGATCTAACATAGAGCGCAGAGACTTCATTAAAACTTTTGAGGTTATTTAATATTTTATGGGATTAGAAAGGAATGAATAAATTAGTAATAACCCAGAGGGAAAGATGGCGGTAAAGATACATCTTAGTTGGAGATTGAGCTCTAGACATCTTTGCTGACATTGAAACGTACCATAACATTTTAGATCTTTTACCACACTACCCTAGCATTTGTTATTCACAAAAACACTGGAGCCTCATGTTATAGGAATGTTGTTCTCGGGCATGGCCCCCTGAAGAATGACACTTCTCTATATGCGCAGGGCGAGCCTCTTAATCACACTCTCAATCACTGGTCTTTTGTTCTGCACATGTGTGTCAGGAGGAGCTGTGTGCAGCCGCTCTCAACATACTGTTGATTGTTTTTGTATTTAGACGTTGTATGCAGTTGAAGTTGTTTTTCCTCCATCCTTGGTGTTATTGGACCCTCACATATGGTTCTCTATGCTGTACTATATGTGTACTAGCACCGCACACACACCCCTCCTCCTCCTGTTTTTTTCATTCAGAGCTTCACCTTTAGCCTAAATCACGTCACACAACATGGGGCTATAGGTTTTTGCCACAATTCCAATATGTTTGAAGTTATGCCTATGTAAATGTGATGGACCATGGATTATGACAGCATAAGCTCTTTCTCTGCGTGTCCTTTAATACTGTGCTGTTCTTGTAAAAACAGAGTTTGTGTTCATCCAGGGCTCTTCACTTGTTTCTTATTCATGCTCCAGCTGGTGAACACACCCCTCGCTCCTGGACCCTTGGCGCCCCTCATGCTTTGTGTTGAACTGTGCCTCACTCCACGTGCAGAGAGGAGCGAGTAGGAGGAGTTCCCTTTGAGGAATGTGTGTTGACTGGCTGGCTGCCTGTGATGCACACACAGCAGCAGAGCTCTGCAGAGCCAGCTGTGCGGTGGAGAGGGCGACAGCAGTGTCTATAATGTATGTTTTCATAATCATGTGCACACCAGCTCTGGGCGGCTGCACACATGAGAAACCCCCTGAACAAGATGACCTCCTTCTACTAAATTACAACACATTCTGGAAGCTAACTTGACACCATCTGTGAGAAAGACGAAATTAAAAAATAGTTTTTACAAAATGGATATCTTGTACATGGGTTAGATCTACTGCTGAAGATTTTGGAATGTTTTAGCTCTCTCCAGACTTAAACATTATTAATTTTTTTGTGGAAGACAGCCCAGAACTGGAAGACTTTGTAAGGAAATAAAAGTACAATTTTGGGTAGAAATATGTGTTCTGCAGGCTGTGGCACTTGCCACGGGTTAATAACGTCTCATGCCCAGTTTGTGTTCCCCTTGCTTCAATGTTCACAATAATAGAACTGTTATTTTGGACTTATGTTAAGTGAATCTTGAAAGGGTAGACTCCGACCAGACTGCTGCTGTAAATATGCCCAGTCTGTGTGGTTACCAAATATATAGAACACTTTGACCTGCAAACATCAGACTAAAAACACAACATAAGACCTGCTTTGTCTTGTTCTGGTTGTTTTCTACACACCCTGTCCCAGTACGGTCAAGAGTTGGATTACCCAGCTTTTCCTATGTAGAAGATGTTCTTAATTTCCTCAACTTCCTCCTCTTTGACAGTCTGACATTATATTGTCATGACAGTTTGAGGGTGAATTTTTTATGCTTTCACCAAACTAGCTAGGAAAAACTGTTTGGTCATGTTCATTAATACTCAGTTCTGTATCTCCTTTTTCTAGATGCGACTGAGGAGTTCTTTGAATATGATGCAGAGGAGTTCCTGGTGTTCCTGACACTGCTCATAACAGAAGGACGGACCCCCGAGTATTCGGTTAAGGGCAGAACCGAGGGATTGCACTGTCCCCCTGCGCAGGCTGCAATGCCCCCTCTGCACAAGCATGATTGCAGCGACAAACTCCCACAGGTGCAGAAGAAGAATTCTTTCTAGTTTTGTTTGACTGAGACAGGTCATGAAGCATATGTGTAAATACATAAACTTAAAATGTTCTTATTAAAGATAATGTGATGTCATCAGCTTTATATCTCAATGTAAAACGGTTTCAAGTCATTACACGTGTGAATTGGTTTTCTTTAGTCTTTGGGAGCATTTGGCCTTTTTTGTTTACTTCGTGTCCATGTGCTCAGTGTCGACAGGCTCGACGCACCCGCTCCGAGGTGATCCTGCTTTGGAGGAACAGCATCCCCATCATGATCGAGGTCATGCTCCTGCCTGACTGTTGCTATGGTGATGAGTGTCCGCCAAGTGACCTTATCAGCGACCCGGTCATTAAGCAAGACGCTTTACTGCTGGAGAGATGGACCCTACAGGCAGTTCCCAGACAGTAAGACAGACCTTTACCCCGTCATGCTTGGGCATTAGCCTCAGCTGACATGTTTGCTACTGTTTAAATGACTCCATTGCCAGTGTAAGAAGAACATGCTTCCAATGGCGCAAGAAGAGTAAGAATAATATGCACTTTCACATGGTTGTTTTGAATTTGAATTAAGAAGGTCCTTTATTTGTCCCACAGTGGGGTAATTCAGTTTAATGATAGACATACACATCAAGGCATGCAGCAAACATTATTTCCGCGCACCTTAAGCCTAGCGTACATCGACAGAGAAACTGGGGACAACTAGTTGCAAGGCGGCTTTTGGCAACTGAGAGGAGATGATGGGAGATGATCAGTTGCCGAAATCGGTCGATGTGCGCGCTCTTACAACTGGAGATGATCAGTCGGTCTCCAGTTTCAGTCAGTTGCCCGTGTTCTACTTTTCGGCAACTAGTTGTCCTCAGTTTCGGAGATATGACTCGATGTGCGCGCTCCATGCGCCGCTCCGACATCGTGTGTGTATTGCGTGTATTGCGAGCCCGCAACAGTTTATGTCAGAAAACACACTGTAGTTGAGGCCAGTTGCTGTCGATGTACGCGCTGTTATTCCCGAGACTGGTCTGATACTGGGAGTTGTCCGTTTTCGTCAGATTGTCGATGTGTGCGGGGCAGCAACTCATATGCGACGGATATAATCAGTTGCCAGTCCGATGTACGCTAAGCTTTAAAGGCAAAGTGGGTAAAATGTTTTGCCCAAGAACACAACGATAGCTGACATCAGTGGGAGTTGGTGGAGAAGGTCTTGCTTGCGGTGGGCTCAAACCCACAACCTTTAGGCTCAAAGGCCAATGCTCTACCAACTGAGCCACTGTCGCCCCAATTTGTGTTAATATTAAGCTAAACAGGTTTTTAAAAGTTTTTTCGTCAATACCTAACAGTTTGTAATACATTTGCAATAAGTTGAAGATATGGTAATAAGAACTACATGTGAACAATTAGGATATAATTACTTCAGATAAGATAATAGACACTTTATATATCCTCAGCTAGGAAAATTCAGGTATGATTAGTTAGCTGTTTCATTAACCTCACACACTTTTACCTCTGTTTATAGAAATGGTGATCGTTTCATTGAAGAGAAGACCTTGTTGCTGGCTGTCCGATCTTACGTCTTCTTCTCTCAGCTCAGTGCTTGGCTCAGTGCCTCACATGGCATCGTCCCCAGAAACATCCTGTACAGGTTAGACCTTACACTCACTGATTTCTCATAGCTTGTACTAATAAAACACCTGTGGTCTTAATTCCAAACAGAGCTTAAAGCACCTGTTAATCACTGGTCATGTATGTATGTGTCTTCCAATAGGATTAGTGCAGCTGATGAAGAGTTGGTGTGGAAGTTTTCCCAGCCGCCTTCCGAGCACATCTTCCCCATTCCAAATGTCTCACACAGTGTTGCGCTGCAGGTCCGTGTGCAGTCCTTGCCCCGCCAGCCATCCTACCCGACCATGGCCTGCAGCATCCACACTGGCCTGCCTTCACTATATAGCAACACTCCAAACCTGAACCCGAACCCAAATAGCCATGGTCCGCCAACCAGCTTGAAGAGGAACCAGGAGCCCAGCAATGAAACCATGCTACAAAACACCAACATGTTCAGCAAGAGCTCAAGCTCCATGTCTGGTCTTCTCCTTAATGGATTTCCCGTTCCTAATCTTCCGATTAACAACATCCCCATTAATAGCCTTCCACACACTGCTGTGCCACATGCCTTTTTTAAGAAATGCCAGGAGCCCACAGAGAGCCATAGCAGTGTCTATCACAATGGAGAACTTCCACAAGTCAGCATCCCACCTTGTCAGGGCTCTCCACGTTTCAATAGGTCATCCCATTCCCCCACGCCCTCGCGCTCTCACTCGCCCTCTCCGCTCTCAGCCAGTAAGGCAGGAAAGTGGCTGTACTCTGCCGTCAATGGGACATCTGATAGTTCGCCACAAGTTGAAGATTACAGTCTTGATATCAACGGCAGTGATCAAACAAAGAGTCTAATCAATGATCCTCTAAAAGCATTTAAGAATTTAACTTTGCCTGAGACTCCTCGTTGCTCATCACCCAGACCTGTTCTAAATGAGACAAACCCTCTGATTGGCTCGTTGCTTCAGGAACGCCAGGAAGTAATTGCTCGTATTGCACAACGACTTAATTTCTGTGACCCCACGGCACCACCACTCCCCCCTGGACTTTTTGCTCAAGATAACGCTTCTAAAGCCATTTGGGGCAGTACCCACGACGACATAACTGCTACTAAGACCAAAGAGCCTCACGTCCCACCTCATGAATCTGTGGGCCGTGTTTGGCCGAGCCCTTTCAATACACCTGTGACTGAACCTTCTTTCAGCAAACAAGAGTGCATGTCCCCAAAGCCCGGTGCTTGCAGAAAGCTCAAAATGACTGAGGTGAGAGAGGAGAATCAGATTAGGGAAAGAGGAAAAACACAGGAAAACTCTCTAATTGCCCAGGCTGTTCACGACATTACAAGGCTCATTCAGGAGAGGCTGTCTGTTCCTTCACTGTCTCCGACACAAAGCAAAAGGGGAAGCCCTCTACACCAAACCCATACAACAATAGTCACACACACAGTCCGCACATACTCACAACCCACACAAGAGCTTCAGACCCCTCACACTGCCACCAATGGCTACAGTAACGGCCACATACCCAGCCATGCACCTCACAAAGGCACACGTACAGTGGCCGCACATGCCCCTATTTGCAGAGGAAAACCTGGAGTCGAACCAGGGACTGTTCACCATTTTCCCTGGGTCCAAAATGGTGCTCAATCCACACTTGAGGACAATTCATGTAAAAAACAGCTTTCAGTGGCTGGTCATTGTTTACGTGCTCCCCTGAAGGAAAAAAAGTGCAGAGCCCCTACGCACATCTGCCAAGAAAAGGCTTCTGGCTTTGAACATGGTCTGAGGAACGATCAAGTTTGCCGTTGCAATGATGGTAGCTCAGTACAAAACTGTCACTCTGGTTACAACCATAACACGCCTCAACCCCACTACCAGATGCAAAGCTGTGCTCCTGCACAGGCGTCTAGACCACATGACGAGAACCAAGCACCCCTCAAGTCTGCCAACTCCGGCCTCACCAGCCCAGACAGGACCCGAGCTTCCAATGTGTTGGTAAGAGGCCGATTGCACATATTATTCATAAAAAATGGAAAATGTGCAATAGTAAACATTATTTAGAATGATTCATAAAATTTATTCAATTGCATTTAAGAGACCAAAGTTGTACAAATCTCTTTGAATAATAATGTGAGAAAAAAATTGTTAATATTCAGATCTTTGTTTTTCTTTGTTCTGAATTGTCCAGCAGCGGGTCCAGAGCCCTACCCCACTGCGACCTTGCAACAACTGGAAGAAGCAGAATCGTCACTCTATAGACGCTACGGCAACTAACGCTTTCCACCCGTGTACTGGACTGCCTCTGCTATCTAGTCCTGTAAGCTCAGGATAGCAAACCACATTTAAAGTTCCATACAGTAGTAACATGAATGTGTTTGACAGGTTCCTCAGAGAAAGAATCAAACTGGTTATTTTGACCTCGACACCTCTCTGATGAGCAGTAAAGTTTTACCATGGACCTTGGGAAAAAGGTAGCATTTCTCAATCTCAATGACACAATCAACTATCAATAATTTCACTTTTCACTTTGTGACATTATTTTACAGAAATAGTTATTATTTTAATGCCACTACATTTGGTCATCATGACTTGATGAGTCAATGTACTGCCATCTGCTGAAGCTAATGTGAACTGTCCCATATGGTGCAACATGGCAGCAGAGACTAATCTTACAGTCAGCACTAGATCATATACAGAATCTGGACGGAAGCAGAAGTAAATATAACCAACTACCTATTCATGCCTAAACTTAACCAGCCATTCAATAACCCCAACCCACCCTTAACCCTAACCTTAACCATCTTACTCAGACACCTAAAACTTGACCAGTCACTACTTAAGGATTTAGTAGTCTAAAACTAATTTCAAAGTAGGATTGTTACTTCCACTTCCGTCCAGATTCCGTATATTCTCTAGTGCCGACCCTAATCTTACTGCCATTAACCAAAAACTTCCTTATCCTTTATTCTCATCATTGATATTCATGTTGAGGTCATCTATTAGGTACCACAGGACCTGTTGCAGATTTTTGTAAATTCTTCCTAATCATGTCAACCATGTCAAGAAAAACTGCTTACTTCAAGATTAAGATTAAGAGATCCTTTATTCGTCCCACATTAAGGAAATGTCAGTGTTGCATCACAAGTTATAGAACAGTAGGAAAGAGGAGCACACAGCACTAGATAAGTGAACGATAGCTATACTATTTAAAATAAAACAAAATCTCTAACTCTAGCATCAAATATCAAGTATAAAATCTCTAATTTGAAAATAATGATAATAAAAAAATGTTTTTTTAAGAATAAAAGTTTTACATTGAGCAACAGTAAACATGTGCGTCCACCTGTGCGACAAAATATTGTCCAGACTTTATCAGTGTCTGGACAATATTGGTGAACTGGAAGATGATTGATGTATTCCCACTTCACACAAGAAACAACAATTACGTTTTATAACTAGGATTCAACCTGGATTATTCAAAATAGAACTTTTACATTTTGTTGGCCCACAAATCAGCATTGGCTCTGTTGATTCATTGACGTTTCTGGATAAGGAAAGCATGTTACTAGTCTGAACATTTGCAATCAGTGATTTATTTAAATATTTTTTTCTGTTGTTTTTATTTTTTGAGTGTGTGCTAAGTATCTTGATGGTCTTAGGATCTGTTCAAAGAGGGAGTGCTCCATTGAAGACACACAGCTATTCAGTGCCAGCGCTCCACCTGCCAGTCTCAGTCTGTTGGGAAATTTTGAGGTAGTTATGATATCAGCTTAATATTTCATTCTTTACATCAACATACATACATACAACTTAATAATAATACAACTTTTTACACATTCACAAATTTACTATATGCACTTTTATTATAGGAGTGTGTGTTAAACAACCGCCTGGAGCCCTTAGGGGCAGTGGAGGGTTTTACGGCAGAGGTTGGTGCTAGTGGGTCCTTCTGTCCCAGTCACCTGACCTTGCCTGTGGATGTGATGTTTTACAGCGTTTCAGATGACAATGCTCCATCTCCATATATGGTAAGATCCATAACCATCTTTTATGTATCTCAAATCATTTGTTTTCTTTAGTTATTCTAATAAAAACTGATCTTCACAGGGTGTGATAAACCTGGAGTCTACAGGAAAAAGAGGATACAGAGTACCCCCTTCAGGAACCATTCAAGTGGTGAGCAAGGCCAAAGACAATATGATGACAAATTAAAGTAGCAATATAGTAGTAGATTTTCATGTCAAGTCATCATTGAATGGTCCTAAAATGTCAAAAGGCATTAATAAACCTTGCTCTTTTCGTATACTTCTTTAAAGGATAACAGTAGTTCAGCCGAGATGCATTACTTGGATTTCAAAGTTAGTTTTACAGCCCGTAAATCTTGTTATCGTTTTCATTTCGATGTCCCGCCCTCCACTGTTTTACCAATCAGAAAGTCCGTGATCCGGGTTGCCAGAACTCACTGCGCCGAGCTAATGTCACTGGTAAAGTAACATGTGGCCACAGAACTTAAAAAGGTCGTCTTTTGATTCTCAAATCATTAATGACAACTGCTTGGAACTCCTGGTCTTTGTTTGTAAATTAGAGTTTGAAGAATAATTCTGTATAGTGTAACACCAGTATTGCTGGGTCGTAGCTTACGTCACGCAGTGGCACGAAAGTCGTTTGGGGAACAGGAAGTAACTCTCTCCATTAGGAATCATGTAAATCTTAACTGATTCTTAGTCAAAATGCTTATTTTTGTGCCGTCTGCATTTTTATATTTATATATTAGATTATAAATTATAAATTTGATATTTTTTTTCTCTCAATGTTTTTTAATTTTGACATTTTCATTTCAGACCTTATTCAATCCCAACAAGACAGTTGTAAAAATGTTTGTTGTGATGTATGACCTACGAGCCATGCCAGCTGGACATCAAACGTTTCTTCGCCAGAGGACCTTTTCTGTCCCAGTCCGCCGGGATACAAACAATCAGACCAGCAGAAAGCCCCTCTCCCTGAGCCAGAGCCGTACCCTGCGGTACCTCATTCACCTGAGGTAAATACACGCTTACCTCGTTATATTTGTTTCTGCTGCTCTCCACTTATTCAGACTTGTTTAATTGCTCTCAGGTTCCAGAGCTCCAAGTCTGGGAAGATCTACCTCCACAGGGACATCCGTCTGCTTTTCTCCAGAAAGTCCATGGAGGTTGATAGTGGTGCTGCCTATGAACTCCAGTCCTTTACAGAATCTCCCATTGACCCGCCCTTTTCTTCACGTTGTTGAGACCTGAAGTTTCTCACACACCAATGCCAGAGACTGACTGAATCCAACAGCCCAGTCCGAGCTCCCAGGAGCACACAAAGAAGAGTTTTGAAAAGGTGGCATTGATTTAAAAAAATGAATAAAGTGTTTCAGGTGTACAACAAGATGAACATTCTAAGATTCTACATCCGTGAGCTCATGGACATAATGGCCTTATCAGATTTCTTTATTGTCATGTGTGCCCACACTCTGTAGAAAATATTGGATATGCAATTGTGGAAGGTGACCTGCACTGTTTTAACTTGTAATTGCCTAAAAATGTTAATTAGACTTGTACTTGAATTGCCATTCAATTGATGATTGAATAATAAGGTTTACAGTCCGTTTAAAAGTGATGGTATAGAAGGTGTTTTTATATTGAAAAATAAAACTATTGGCTCCTGCGCTCAGTCATAACAGTGCTCATAGTAAAGAAACTTGTTGCAACACCATTCTATGACCTACTCAAAATACCATGGAACAAGCAATTGAGCTCGAATTTTCACAGCTAAACATAAAAAGTGCACTGTGTTTTTTCAACTGGAAATTAAAGATATATAGTAATCTTCTAATACTTTTGTACTGTTACAAACCACTTTATGGAAGTGTTGAAACATAAATATTACTTATTTTAGTGTTTACACTTTCAGTTTACTTACATCAGTTTATTTAATATTTAAATATTTCAGTTAATACTTGTCACGTCTGTCATGCTAAGATGTAGTGCAAACTGTATATCATAGTATGTATTTTTGACATTAAAAATGAAAATATATATTATAAAGCTATCTGAAACCATGTTTTACATTGTCATAATTTTATGTTTTGTGAAATTGTTGTGAAATATTTCGTCATCTCTTTAACAGATGAGGTACATCAGAAGCTACAAAAACTCCTCTTGGCCTTGTTATTGACCTTTGTGGAAGATCATTGAGTTAAACTGTTATAATACATGGTAAACGTGTGTTAAGTTTGTATCTGTTATAATTGTATGGTTAGACCGTTATTACAGTAGATCCATGGTTTCGTCACGTGGGTTTCACAGCTGATCGCACATTATGCAACGTAAATCCTGCAAAGCTTTGTGCACGTGCACGAGCGCCCGGACGGGAGCGCGCCTGGTGTCTCCGCATGTGACGTCACGCCGCAGCTCTTCGGCAGGACTCGCGTGAACGCAGGGTCTGTGGATCAGTCTAGAGATTCAGAAATGTCTGGAGAAAACGAAGAAGCACAAAATACAGAAGAGACCCCGGTAGAGGACAAGGTAGTGTGAGACAAGCGACGCGTTTCAGTGAGAACCGTGAGAATAGTGCCAATGACAGCCGCGGAGTCGCCTCACGCTGGCCTCTGCCTAGCGTATTTTAATGTTGACATGTCAATCTGGCCTTATTCGAACAAACAGATACCAGCGACTGACATTTTCAAAGTGAGATCCTGGCTTCAATCATGCACAGCTGACCTCCTTTTGACGACATGTGTTTATGTTAAATGTGATGTCAACATTAGCATCCTGCCCAACGCTAAGCTAGTTTACTGCTAACTGGCTGTCATGATATTCAACCACCAGTGTTGCCTGATGTAAGCTAATATAAAACACAATTGACGCAAATATTGTTACATCTGTTTTCCTTGAGAGAGATCAGTGTGTAAATGTGCTACAGTAAGCTACATGCTTGCCTTTTTTACTAAGGTTGGTCACTATGCTAGATTAGCTTGAGATTAAGTGGTATAGCATAGGTCTAACATTGATAGATAATATAAGATAGACTATTGATCTCACAAATGAGAAATTTACACTTGTTTACCCTTGTTTCTAATATGCTACACACTCTGTTTTAGGATGCTCAAGAAAAAATGGTTAGCCTGGAAAAGGCAGAGGAAGCAAAGTTGAAGGCCAGATATCCGAATCTTGGAAATAAGCCTGGAGGATCTGATCTGCTCCGCAAACGTCTCCAAAAGGGAGTGAGTAATTGTAGCCAAAAAAATCTGTATGAAATAATTTGACAATCATTAAACAATGAAACAATCTCTCCACAGCAAAAATACTTTGACTCAGGAGACTATAACATGGCCAAAGCAAAGATAAAGAACAAGCAATTGCCAACTGCTGCTCCAGAAAAGGCAGAGATCACAGGGGACCACATTCCCACCCCTCAAGATTTGCCCCAGAGGAAACCCTCCTTGGTTGCCAGTAAACTGGCTGGCTGATGCTTATACAAGCACTGTAATTCTTCCTTGCTCCTAACCCCTCCCACTCAACTGCAAAGTTGTAACAAAACTTGTCTTTATTTTTTTCTTGTCCTATATGCCTGACCCTACACATCTGGAGTCTCTGGTCTTGACCTGTTTGCCCATTGTTGAACTGCTGCTTTATTTTGGTATGTCTCTGACCACACCTTTTGTAAGTGCTCCCTTGCTTTGACATGCTGCTCTTATTGCATACATCCATGTATAATACACAGAGAGACAAATCATTAGTGTATGATGGAGTGAACTGTGAAGCCGTGTGACTGTGGGATGGCAGGTAATTTGTGGAACCAAGAGGTTAGCAGTAGAAGCTGCACATTTTAGAGATTGTTTAAAAGTGATGAATACCATCCCTCAGTTTGAAAATATTCTGTATATATTTTAATTTTGTTTGGCACAGGGTCAAACTTCATCCTTTTAGAATGTCATTTCATTGCATTATATTAGCCATTGTATTTCACTACTTTTAATTATGCTGTCAATAAGCTTATGGAACTGAATTGAGTAATCTAGGAGCTTTTAGAATAACTAACTGGTATTATCACAATAAATCTACAGGCAATTTTGAATTGTGAAAAACTGGTTTACTAAAGGCGGTTCTCTTTGATTCACCAATCATACATTTGTTAAAACAAACTGTTTGAATCTGTGAGTACATTTTTATGACCGATGACTTCAGGAAACTTGATTTGAATTTCCTGTCATCTTAATAGCCAAAGTTTCCATATCCAATGCTTAAATTTCTTTCTGTACAGTTACAAGAACAGCTTGTACCACAGGGAACAAATTCTTATAAATTGTGTGCAAACTTGGTAAGATGCTTTATAATCAAAAGTTCTGTGTCTTTTGGCCTGGAAATTATCTATGGCCTTATTGTGTGAATGAAGTTTACTGCAATGTGAGAAATGCTAGGAAGTACTACATCTTTATGAGCTGCGCATGAGTATGGCTGCCCTGGTGTCAATTGGTGCCATTTTGTTTTGTAAATAAAATAGTTTTGCACAAACTTATTTTCCTGTGTGTGACATAATTTGCAAGACATTCAACTACTATACTTGATAGTTTATCAACACCATACATGATTTTCATGCAAATTGGCAAAGGTTCAGACTGATTACCTCAAATATTACAATGGTGAGTCATGTGACAATATTACATAGAAGCATAATGTAGATCTATGAGTAGTGGCCTGTTGCATTGTGTTATTGTGTGTAAAGATAGGTGAATGTACAATGTATGTAAAAAGTGGAATTAAATCCTGACACTAAAACATGTACAGCATGTATTGTTGGCCTTTGTCAAATCTTAAGATCAAAATGTTCAATTAGAAAGAGAGGACCACCCCCACTCAGTTTGTAGTGACAGTGACTCACTGACAAGTAAGCAGGCTTACCATTAAGACAAAGACAGCATGTGTTGTTCCCAGTATTTCTCTTTTACAAAGCTCTCTCTGATAGGACAAACACAGTGTACAATTTATCATGAAGAAAAATACAATTATATACCTCATGTTTAAAAACGAACAAATTCCCTTTTTGGCCACGAGGAGGCGCAGGTTCTTGTTCATTCATCGCGCCCAGAGCAAAGTGAAGACTCCTCCGAAACCTCAGCCTGGAGGTGTGCGTGTTTTTATGGCGACCATCCGCATCTCCGCTGCGAGACTCTGTGGCGATAACAGGATATAGCTCCATGAACACTGGGGCCAAGTGGCGTGCAGACCCGTTCATTTGCCCCTGGAGAGAAGGAGGACAGCGTGAGAGAGCGACATGGCTGCGTCCGAGCTGTATACAAAGGTAAAAACAAGTGTCTCTGGGTTAGACACTGCAGCTCAGCGTGGCGTCTCATCCCATCGTCTCACATTTCAGTTCTAACTCAAGAGAAAACCAGTGTCTTGACTTGTAAATGCTGATATAAATGCAGTCTTGTTCATTGTAAGAAAATAATGTGAAAACGTGGCATGTTTACGTATTTTGATAATTTGGCACGGGTATGCTAGCGCCGCAGCATACATATTAAATACATATGGAATGCAAACTCAATTATCTCAGTCAAATTACGCGTTTGACACGACAGTTTATAGTTTATTCATGTTTAAATGTCTGTGGACGAACCATGACACAGATATCACCTGTGTTTATTTCGCATCAGCTTCTTGAGGAGGAGGAAGGATGATGCAAAAGGCGGTGCCAGAAATCACAGCTATTTCCACTTGTGCTTATTCTGCTCTCCCTCACACACAGATATTGATATAGATATACAATTTCCCATACTATTTTTGTTAGAGACGTGTACATTGCCATAGACGTCAGTTTCATATCCTTTGATTATTTGTAGCGGATTGGGTACCACAAAGATGCTGCTGAGCGCTGCATCCTTAGCATCACTAGCATCAAGGGTATGTGCAAGTGATAGGCCCAATGGTGGCTGTGCACTTTGAGCAAAATACGAGAAAGCTGCAGTCACAAGGTCATTCATTTGGGTTGGGTTTAAATGGGAGATTGAATGTATAGTGGACTTGTGCACTATGGATGTTGACGTTTTGGAGGAGAAGGAGCTAAGTCACCCATCCCCCTACATGACAGCTGGTGTGTTCATCTTGGAAAGCAGTTTTAGTGAGAAAACAAGTGAACAATTGAAGGGCTCTATATGGGATTGGATTTCTAAGTAGCCATTAAAAAATGATAAAATAATACACTGAAAGCAGATTTAGGTTATGCTCAGTTAGACATGTTACTGACCTTTTAAGTGTTTTCCATATTCAAGCGGTGTATATTTTGTGATTTCATATTTGTTGTCATGTTTTCTCAATACGATTGCTTGCTTTGTGGATGTGAAGGATTTTTCGGATGTCCAGGTTTTGGTGCTGAATGGTTTGATGTGTTTTGGTAGATTTCCTCTGATGTGAGACCCTCTGTGTGACTTACCTTTCCAGCACAGGAGCAGAACACAGCCCAGTCTTTGTGCCTATGAGTCAGCTGTATAGAAGCCCATTGAGTTGGCTCTGGCAGCCCAGTTAAGATGCACAAACACACCTCCCTGTCCCACTGCTTGAAATCAGAGGTAAAGGTGACGAGGAAAAGGTTTCCAAAATAGCTTTTTTCAACCTACGAACCTACCTCAAATAGCTTTTTTTCAACCTACGATGAAAGTCCAGTGCTTACGTTAACATCATATCAACATCATATCATCATCATATCAGCAGGCCAACATCTTTAGGTGAACTGCCAATAGCATCAGACCTGTTTTGTAATGCCCGGTTTTGTTTTTTTCCCCCTCTGTCTATTTGCAACCATGTGCGTTTAATTACCAGCTTAACCTGGTTAAATAAATTGTGTAATAATAAGTTCTATACACTTTGACATGCAGTTGCTGCAATGCAGAACTTAGGAAGAACAAACCAGACAAGATGTTATTAACTTTTTTTAATAGTCATTAAATCCTTTATAAAGTGTACAATGTTGCTTCAGCCATTAATACATACTATATGGTTTCTGCACAAACACAATACAGTTTTCCTGGACTTGATTGTGTGAAAACCTTGGTTTCAATCCGAGGTTTTTCTTCCTCATTACTCATGTGATCCAAAAGGATGCTAAATGTTTGATGGACGGCAGGAACAGCCAGTAATGGGCCGCAGCACGAGGAGCATTAGAGAATTGCCTTGAACGCAGTTTGTGTATTGAGACACAATGAGAAGTTTCATCCACCGACAAGCTCAGGACTCTGCTCTGGCACAGCATATGTGGACTACAGCATGAGCTAGAACTCAAACAGAAGCTCATCATGAACCGGGATTTGGAGTATATGTTTGTCCAAGTAAGTCCTTAGATCCTTGTTTACCCCATGAGACCTCATGTGTTTCCCAAAAAGTGACATGTTTTTTATTGATCAGGTTGGACTAAATGACTTAACATGTCAATCGGTTGAGGATACTGAACAATATTCACCACATTTTTCCCAAGAATCCCCAAACCCCAATCAAGAAGCAACCTTTTCCCAAAAACATAACATTTGCATGCCAAATAAGAGGTTTTTTTTCTTTGTTATATATATTTGTTTAGGTTGTCCATGATAAAGGTGTTTTTAGTTTAGTTGGAGACAATATTTTGTTCATATTATTTATTTTGGTTTTGATTTGACTATTTCATAGCATGTTTCCTTTGATTTCCCCCCTGCTGATGTATGAAGTGACTTAGCTTCTCGTAGAGACCAAACTAATGTGATTAGAGTTCTCAGCGTCACAGCCCTGAGATGCTGATCTGTGGCATGCTGTGGGGCTGGCTCCACACTGGTTCTCACCGTGAGCTGTGGCACAATGTGCACATAACAGAGCAGAGGTCCCACTGCCCACTGTCAGACCCGAGCTCTGCACACTCACGCTGTGTCTGGCCAGCTGAGCAGAAAAACAGCAGATTCTCACATGAGATCCATCATGTGACGCCTAACTGCAGTCTGGGCCTCCATTGACTGCTTTACTGAGAATTTGCAGGCAAATAACTTTTAACATACCAATATCTGTAGAATAACTACTGTGTGGTCATATGCAGTGAAGACAGAAATGTCTTTGGATTGCACACATCAAAGTACAGACACAAATGATGCTCTTTTTGTTGTTGCATCTGAGTGGACATTTATGACCTCCCTCTCATGTACTGTATATAATATTTGGTCTGTGTGTGGTAATATATTTGTTAATGACCAAAGACCTTCCCAATCCTTTAGCAGCAGTCTGACTTGTGCAGATCAAGTTGCATCTCATAAGTAATCTGAGGCTTGAGAAAAGTTTGGAGCGGCCAGGGCAGGGCTCAGATCCAGGAGCCCAAGCTCTCAATTGAGTATTAGCAGACTAACTACTCCTAATCCACCAGAAATACACGCTTAAAGCCGGGGTACCCAACTTTCAAACCAAATTAACTACGATACAACATCCATATTACTAGTTCCTCAAAACACTTTGATTTTCTCAGTAGTTTTACATGCATGTATTTTTGCTTCTTTCACATATTTAGGGGGCGACAGTGGCTCAGTTGGTAGATCATTGGCCTTTTGAGTCTGAAGGCTGTGGGTTTGAGCCCACACCAACTCCCACTAATGTCTACTGTCATTGTGTCCTTGGAAAAGACACTTAACCCCACTTTGCCTGAAGCCCCCGCTGAAAAAAAAAGGTTATACTGTCATTGACAGCAGCCGTCCTCCTGTGGACTCACCACCTGCAGGAGGATCAGTGAGGGACGGGTGCTCCGTGAACTGGGTGCAGTTCAGACTCTGAATGCAACCCCCGACCAAGAAATGGATTAAGGGGAAGAAGATGGATGGACATATTGAGATAATCTTTTTCAGACAAAGTCTTTTTAAATCAACTCTCAAATAGATGAAGAAGATAACATGTTTTCTATTGAGATAAAAAATTATATGTCGTGGTGTGATTTGTTCAAAATTTTACTTTGTCAGCTTGGAATAACATTTCAAAGTAAAAATAATACTACTGATAGTACTTGAATTAAATTGGTCAACCATAACCTTCAAGGGGTCGTAGTAACAGAACAGGACACTTTCTGTACAGCTACGTGGCTTCCCACAATCTTTTTGTTTATCTCTTATTGATTTTATTTGTAAATCTTAAACATTTTCAGGGCTCTGCTTTTCACATAAAATTTATGTCAATTTTTTTTAAAGTCAGTCAATCAATAGTTGTACTAACAACTTTTTGGATTGAATTGTATTTTTATTAATAATTGACTGTTCATCTGCATGTTGCCAAATATGTGAAGATAATAAAACCAAATGTGTTTGGCTTGGTAAAGATTAGCTTGTTAAACCTTGTGTTATCCTAATCTCGATGTGATCCTTTATTTCACCTAAACCAGGATTAGTGGTGTGGCTGGAACTTGGCACCAGACCTCTGCTGCCTCCCTCGCTCCACACACTCCTGGAGCACCGCATACTGTCCTAGTGTGATGCTGTGCTGGTTTTTAATGTGCACGAGAAGCACTACAGTGGACATGGGGATCAATAGGACTGCACCCTGTCGCAAGAGCCAGGGAAGATTAAATTCAACCTGAAAAACGATGCATTTTCCCAGCACAGGCAAAAATCAGGAAAGCTGGATGCTCCATGCAGTAGTCATGTGGCTTTTGATGTCACACCTACGTCAGTCACTGCTTTTCTTTGTCATCACTCCTCTCCTCCAGCAACTCTGCACAGCCTTAGAACAGACCCTGTTTCACCCAAATTCATTTAACTCTCGTTCTTCTTGGAAACTGATCTGAAAATAAGTATGTGTGTCATTTTATTCTTAAATTGGTATGCTTTGAAAGGCCGAGAGGACATTGCAGCACTAAAAAGACATACTTATGCTATACTAGTGTAAATTGCCTGACACAACCAGCACTAACCTAACATGATGTTCAAACGATGACACGTGGAAAGTGTGAAACCTGCCAGCTTCACGTGTGAGAGTCATTATCGGTGTGTTCCTCGATGTGTGATGCAGCTCCAAATTCGCAGCTTCTATTTTTAGCCTTCGTCCTCCCGCTTCCGCTCGTCTCCATCACTGCTGCGCTCTCTAGTCCTGCTGCTGATGTTGTTCAAAGCAGGAGGTGAAAGGCTATTGATACAAAGTAGATCAAACACGATATTAACCTTTGCCACACATGCGGTACAGCTGTGGTCTTGGATTATGGAGTATGGAATAAGTACAATTATTGATCCGTTTAAATGAATTGGTCAGATCTTTCTCTGGTTCTCGAGCTGGAGCAGGTCAGAAAGATAGTCACTAAAACAGACTCATTATAATGATCTATATATGTAATAGTATTTTCAAGGGCTTTTTTTCTTTTCTGCTTTTTTCTATTTATTTTCTGTGCAATGACAAGCCTCACATGCGGTATGATTTTTGCATCTTGGTCACTGCCAGAGGGTTATGTTTTCAGCCCTGCTTTGTTAGTTTGCAACATAACTCATGGGCAGATTCTTTACAAAATCGTCACTAAATCAAATGAATGTTAGGCTTTAGAGGTGATCCGGATCTCTGTCAGGATCTAGGATTTAAGAAATGTAAATGCCCCTGTCAGCGGAGGTCTCTACAAGTACTGTTCTAGTTTTACTATGACTGAAAAGAATTGTGTTCCAAAGATAAATTTGCCTGTGACTGATGCACTGTGTTTACATTTTATACATACATTTGACTAAATAAATGGGTAATAATGTATTGTGCTCATGTTTACAGCGTGGTTGCTAAGTAACAGTCCCCCTGGTTCCGTCAAACTGCCCAAATCTCCACCTCATGTTTTCAAAACAAGAGAAGCCATCCATCCATCCATCCATTTTCTTCCCTTTAATCCATTTCTGGGTCAGGGGGGTGGCAGTCAGAGATGCCACCCAAGTCTCATAGCCCCAGCCCCTCACTGACCCTCTGCAGGTGGTGAGTCCACAGGAGGACGGCTGCTCTCTGAGTGTGAGCATAGCCTTGATCTTTCAGTGGGGGCTTTGGGCAAAGTGGGGTTAAGTGTCTTGCCCAAGGACACAACGACAGCAGTCATCAGTGGGAGTCGGTGGAGAAGGTGCAGAGGTGGGAACAAGAGAAGCACCTGTGTCAAAACAATGGGGTCCACTCAATAAACTATATTATAATACAGGGAATAATAATTAAATATCTTTGCTACTGGTGAAATAAGATTAAAGCAGGAGAATCCCAGTGAACCCTTTTTATTTACTTTAAGTCATAACTTGAAACGTTGCACAATGTATCCCATATTTCTTTTAAATATTGAAAAACAAGTTTGTATTTGTTAAATTTGTATCGAACAATTTCATACACAGGGCAACTCATAGTGCTGAACAAAATCAGATAGCATTAAACTAGCATTAATGAAGTTCCCTAACAAGCTTATAGTCAACCAGGAGGTGTATCAATCACACCAACATTTTTTCAACACATCATTGGCGTGAGTGATTCATACATACTTCTGTAGTAACTGTCCAGGGCTTACCTTGTGCATGTTGTCATCAGCGGCGCCAGACTGTGTGACCATGATGTCATGATTCAGATGATGGTGAAGCAGCTGACCAAATCCACTGGTTTCTCTCCAATCGACCTGTTTAACAAAGAGCTCTTTTCTTGTTGCCGGAAAATTTTCATTGCCATTCATAAACGTTTCCATGAAATTCTACTGAAGGGCAGATTTTTGCTCTGAGTCTGACTATGGGAAATTACATTTATGAATAACCGATTTGATCCTCTTCTAAATTAGAAACTTTGTTATTTCCTGGTAAAAATATATGCTTTTTCCAATTCTGTGTTAATACTTGTTTTGAATGGTTATTGCGTTGTTCTGAGCTTTCTGTTTTATGCAACTATAATTATCAGATTATCTAAAGTCCGCTTCTTTTCTTTAAAAATGTGGAGATTTTGTGCTGGGGAAATGTCTGAAACTACTAGTTTTTTTTGTTCCTCATTTTCTATTTAACCTGATTTTAATTGTAATTTTATGTTCTTTCAATTCTATTAGAGTATGAAATATATATATGAATATATAGTCTTGTATAATTTGGTTTTTATCAAGTGATATTGTGCTTAAAATCTTGGACTTTTAAGTTCACTCCTGTTGCCTTTGACTTTGGTGCTGCTGTGTTTGACCCGAGTGTCTGCAGAACGTTGTCCACATCGGAGCGCTGCATTCCTGTTGCCATGTGACTGTCAGTGTTCATCGCTCTTGTTATTCCCTCGTCTGCGATCAGCTGATGCCCACCCCTCTCCGGACTAAAGCAGTTTGATAGTACACATTGTGTCTTTGAATTGGACCACACTTCCTCTGATAAGATACTACTTGTTTTCTTAACTCACCATTAAAGCCATGTGCTCATGACTGGAAAGGAAATATAATGGCGCCTCACATTTCTCTTTCGACATGCTTCACAAAGATAATGTCAACAACTGTAAATGTAAATAACGTAACGTTCTCCTTCTTTCAGTCCGCTCGGGTGTGGATCCCAGATGCGGAGGAGGTGTGGAAGTCCGCTCAGCTGGTGAAGGACTACAACAATGGAGACCAGTCCCTGCAGCTCATGTTGGAGGATGGATCGGTGAGGTCTTCTTTTACAATTTTGTATACATTTTCAACAAAGAAACACAAGCACATACACACCCAGGATCAGGACATCGCAATGTTGATAAAAGCCCCACCAAGAGAATTAGACACGACATAAGGGCGGACAGACCACCCTCTTCCTATACCGACACATTGGACAATCTTTGAGTGACGTTGTTGTTTATAGTTTTTCCGCGCCGGTCACGTGACCGGGTGGCAAAACAGCATAGAAGCTACCTGGGTGCTAGAGAGTTAGCTAGCTTTAGACGTTTGGAGAGAGGTTTTACTAAATCAAATGGTCCATTCTTGTTGACAAAGTTTTTTTTCTAATTCCTTTGGAAAGCATAGCAAAAACGGCCGCGGTGGTCCGTACATTAAAATCGGGTTGCTCCTTTATGCTGTTGCCTACAGTAAAAGTAGAAAAGGAAGTCGGGGAGATAAGCAACCAAAATGTAATTTAAAAAAAAACATTTTAACAAAAATTAAGAGTTTTGCAACTACTTTCACTGCACACTTGTTCATTGTGGTGATGAATTTAAAAAATTGCATTTTGGATCAATATTGCACATTTTGACCCCAATTTTCTTGTCATTCCTACAGTAAACGTGAATGTTACTTTAGGCCACTGGTTCCCAAAGTGGGGGTCGCAGGAACCCCTGGGGAGGGTCGCAAGATGATTTCCGGAAAAAAAAATCAAATATATATCCACAACAGAAAAACCAGCAATAAGCACCCAGCAATGGGCACCCAGCAAGGCAGCAAGGGGCGAATGCGCACACGGATGTAAACAAAGATCCTCCTATAGGAGAACACTTGGGCACTCCCACACTTTTTGGAGTTTTTGGAGATCTGTTAAAAGACGAGTCTGGAGGATGTAAATGAATGGATCAGGGTTTCAGCGGCGATAGAGGAATGGGCAGAGATTGGCAATCTCTTGGCAAGTTTTTAAGGTGAAAGAAGGCAGTTTTGGAAAGGGTTGGATCTAAGATGAGGCCAAAGTCTCTGATATGTGCAGACGGTGGGATTGTGTGGCTGTCAAGTTCTGGGTGTTGGAAAGGAGGGATTTGGGGCCAAAAATAATTATTTCTGATTTTGAGGAAATTGGTGGACATCCAAGATTTCATTGCAGAGATGCAGTTTATAGATTTGACAGAGAGGTATAGTTGAATGTCTACGTAGCTGTTGAATCAAATGCTCACGATTATTGAGTGGTTCACCTTGATACTTAAGATGGTTGCAAATTGCAAAAACTCAGATTATCATTCAAGAAAATGCATAAAGGATTTGGACACATTTTAACGTTATCCATACGTGACATTGCCGTAAATACTTTTGCATAGAATATGATTTTATTTTCTAAATCTACAAAACAATTCCTAATAGAGCAGAGCTGCAGGAACATCACTCTTTTTATTTCACATTGGAAGCACCAATAATCTCAGAGAAATCCACATTTACAAAGAACACTTTTAGCAAATATTAGCCCTCATAACATATGTGCGTTCCCAACCCGTGCACGAAGATTGCGAAAAAACTGAAACACAAGTTTGTTCAAGGGAAGTAGGCTATGTTTCAGTCAGGAACTCTGAGAAAATAGTCTTCATTGAATGTGACCGATCAGCAGCACACGAGCAGAGATAATATTACACATTCACGTCAGAGACATAGAACTCTAACATGGATGTGTTATATTCACAATATTATTCACACAACTGGGTGAAAGATGGAAAGAGACGGATATTGTGCATATTTTTAATGGGATTCAAACTTGATGAGAGGCAAAGCCACATTCTGATTGGCCGAGAGCCGCATGTGACTTTCGACCCTCGGGTTGGCCACCCCTGAATAAGAGAAACATTTAATTATATACAGTACATTCTTGCCATCAGAAATAATCGTTTCAAAACAGAACATTTGATTTTTCAAACCTGCTTCACACACACATCATAGGCTGAGATGGAACAAGACCAACCGATTAGTTCAAGATACATTTGCTATGCTAAAGATCCATTGAAGTTAAAGGGCTGGTCTCATGACATTTGTGGGCAACATGTTTGTAATGTCCTTCTTACATGAGGATGGACATCACAGGACAGTGTATTGTGCAGACTGTCAGAGAGCACAAGACGGGCCACCAAACCAGATTCTATAGGGGCTGTTTTTGCTCTTTAGATGGATTTTACTCACAATTAGGGCCGTATGTTTCCCGCACAGGATATGGTGAGTTTAAGATGCATTCAGTTTCATTTAAGTGTTATTATACATCATTAGATCAGCTTATGTTTTTGCTCATCCGTGTCTAATTCTTCGCAATTTTCTTAGAAACTTGAGCACACGTTGGACCCAAAGACAAAGAACCTCCCTCACCTGCGTAACCCTGACATCCTGGTGGGCGAGAATGACCTCACGGCGCTCAGCTACCTGCACGAGCCGGCCGTCCTGCACAACCTCAAAGTCCGCTTCATCGACTCCAAGCTCATCTACACGTACTGCGGTAGGCTACGCACCTGAAGGGCAAAATTTGCGGAAGAAAGTCTTGCAAAACGCTTTCCATTGCATGTCGTAGGAATTGTCCTGGTGGCCATCAACCCATACGAGAACCTGCCGATCTACAGCACGGATATCATCAATGCTTACAGCGGGCAGAACATGGGAGACATGGACCCACATATCTTCGCTGTGGCTGAGGAGGCCTACAAACAGATGGCCAGGTCTGTGTCAGAGCCAGTGTCACCTGAGTACACCGTTTACTTACTCTCTATTTGTGGCATTTGTAGGTCAAAGTCAAAACAGAAATAACCCCATGCATATCACAGGGGCACTATCCACGCACACTCGTTATTAAAACACGGCAAATATTGTGAGTTGTCCTAGTCAGGCTTAAAGCTGGGGTACCTAACTTTTTGGCATGAATTTTACATGTTGTTTGTCCCAACAGAAAGAGTCTTGTAAATGCCAAATGTTGTGAACACACCACTCTTATTAGAAAGAATGTTATCTTTTACATACTTGTTGGAAAAAAACCCTGGGAGTCACTATTTGACCTTTTTGACCAAAATAAGATTGGGTATGGATAGTCCTGTTTTTTTCATTTTAGTTAGTAAAAACAAATCTAAAGATATGATTGAGGTGAAAAATACATGCATGTGACTGATTTGGAAAGTTAGGCACCCCAGCTTTAATTACTGGAATTCAGATTTTCTACATTTAGGTCAATTATGGGTGGATAGATTATTATATTTTGTGAAATAGAAAATTTCTTGTTCAAGTTACACCATATTTACCACATAAAAAACGTCTACCTGTTTTTGAGAACTAATGCGCTGAAACAAGTACGGAGGATAGAAACAACAGAAATTCTTAACAAAATCCAAATCAAGTAATGAGCAAATATTTTGGTGTTAACAAGTGTCACAAAGTAATTCCCTTAAAACAACATTGTTACTTCAATATATGTGTGCATTGACTCTGGCTACTGAGAAATAACTGGTGTGTGTAATATGTACTTATTTTGGTCAGGGATGAGAGGAACCAGTCCATAATAGTGAGCGGCGAGTCTGGAGCGGGAAAAACCGTGTCTGCCAAATACGCCATGAGGTACTTCGCTACAGTCAGCGGATCGGCCAGTGAAGCCAATATCGAGGACAAAGTGCTGGCTTCCAACCCCATCATGGAGGTGAGTATTTATTTAGGTTTTACAGCTTCATTTCACACATGTTCACATTTTTATTATTAAAGTCATTGTCCTCCTGTGCTTTGTTTGCACAGAGTTGAAATCAAGTTAGTCTATAACGTCTAGTACGTTTTTGAGAGCTTTTGTGATGCTTTTAGTCCACGCTTGATCAAACCTGGCATATGTTTAGTTGGCCGAGCATTTTGTTAGTCAGCCCGAGTTGAGATCGGACCAGCGGTGGCGGACTTGTTGCTAAAGTAGATCTGTAAGGACAATGCTGCTTTTTTCTAATGTGTGGAAAATGTGCTTCATCTGTTAGGTTAAAGGGGACATAAAATGCTTCTGTCTACTATATTATATGACAATCTGACACACATGGCTTATTATTAAATATGTACTGGATATACATATTTTTTATAAGATTAGTCCACTAATCTTCAGTTCAGTTATTTTTATTTTTGTTATATTTCTTAGTTGTTTTTTTTTACTAGAGTATTTATAAGGCAATACTCATAATGCAATCCCATTTAATGTGAGTTAAATCATATTATTTTTATTACAGTATTGTATTTGTAAAGGGATGAATGGCATTTTATACAATGAAGTAACTCAAGAGGAAGGATTTTAGTGACAGATTTATATTCTCAAGAAGGATTTGTAAGAATTTCATCATAAACTGTCCCGTCTTTATGGCTCCTTAACGCCACATCAAAGGCACCGCTCCACATCGAGTTATAATACATGGATTCTTGTTTTTATTTAAAAACAAATGTCTGCGTTGTGTGTGAATCAGGATCTGGAAAGAAAATTAGCAAACAAACTGTTCAAAAGAAATCTAAGATAGTTTTCGAATGTGTAAATTACAACGGAAACAGCTGTAACATGCTCATAATCTGTCAAAAGTAAAATGTGTTATTTTCCCGTGAAACATGTCTGGTTAACTGGCTCCTTTTGAGTACATGGCATTTATATTATTAACAGAAAAATCAAAAAAGTGGCCTTTTCCAAATTGAAATAGATTGATCACAATGTTCCAAAACATGAATTCAATCTGTTTTGTAAGAACGACTGGAAAGATTTGTTGTTTTGCTGCCTGTAATCACACAAACCAATGATTGCCAGGGACAAGTAACAAGTAACAAACTATGGAAGTTAAAAGTGAAAGTTAAAACTCAACCAAAGATATGAATAAATCCAGGACCAAATGCTCTAAGTGAAGGATTGCTGCGTATCTATGTTTGCCGAGAGCGAGGTTATACAGTTTGAACGGCTATGTTTTTATTAGCCATCACATCTTTAAAATACGTTTTAGCAATAAGGTTAAGTTACTCGATTCCTGAATAAATCTAAAGTCTATCCTGATATGTTGTGCTTTTATCCAGCTGAGGGGTAGTTTGTTTTGGTCTAATGGGTTTCTTTCCGTTGGTTTTTGGACTCTTTAAATGTTCCACCCCTACCCCCTTTATTTCCAGCCACTGTAATCCTGACCAATCATGGGCCAGCTGCCAGGGGGAGTGCTTTCCTTTGCAGCATTGGTGTATTTCTGTTTCAAATGCTTTTCCTATATTATATTTACTCCCATGAATGCAAACTACATTCAATGTTGCCTACATTGCACCCATACTAATATATTATAAAACATTGTGAGACAATTTTGTTTCTATTCAATCTATCCTGTTCCATCATGTGATTTAATCTTACCATTTATGCTTTTTAGGCCATTGGGAATGCAAAGACCACCAGAAATGACAACAGCAGTCGATTTGGGAAATATATTGAAATTGGCTTTGACAACCGTTATCGCATTATAGGTGCCAACATGAGAACATATCTCCTTGAGAAATCACGAGTGGTGTTTCAGGTGAGTGAGTGATATTGATTCTTAACTTTCTCTTTCTTTTGAGGTACAAGACTTATCCCATTGTCATCACATTGTCTTTTGATGTGTTATCAGACTATAGCAAGTTGCACTCAAAGCGATACATGCAACATTGGAGATAGTTTTGCTAAAGAAAACTATTTGCTTGTAATGAATTTTTTACAAAGCCATAACAAGCAGAGCAGCTGAAAACAAAGCCGTCTTTAACATCCATCTTTTCACAATTCACTTGAATATACTGCTGCTTTTTATTGCTCTGTGTGTTCTCTTGCCCTGTATGTAAGTGCACAGAGAATGTTACAGGAAATGTGAGGCTACTTCCCTATCTACATTTTTCTCATGCCTTGTGCCACCTCTTTTGTAGGTGTGGGTAGGTGTGCTCTTGCCTCTAGTGTCACAGTCCTTAAACAGTCCTTGGAAAGGGCCACTTTCAAATAACTAAATATGATTTAAAATAATTAGGAATTGTATTATTTTGCCTGTTGCTAAAATACAAGTTGACCACATGTTTTGTCTCACAGAACATATCCAGTCTAGTGTGAAGTTTTGTCTGTTCAACCACTGCATATCATCAGTTGTGTGCACTTGAGTCAGAGTGTACATCGCCAGCTGTTCTGTGCCAAACAACCGTGACTTCTGTCTGATGCTTTGTTCTTTCTTCTGTGCCCGTTTGCTTTAGGCTGAGGAAGAAAGAAATTATCACATCTTCTACCAGCTCTGTGCTTCTGCAAATCTACCTGAATTAAAAATATTGAAATTAGGTGAGTCTTGATGTCAGCTATGTATCCACACACTGAGAAACTCATTATTTGTACTTGACACTATTTGAAAAGCAGAGCTAAGATAATTCAGAAGCAGATTTAACACATATCACACAGATCTCGTGCTGCACCTGCGCTCTGCTCTGTGGCCTCTTTTCTCAAGCGCATTTACACGCTCAGCTGTTGTGTTGTTTCACGCTCACTTCCTGACTCTCAATGGGGACGCGTCATGTACAATTAAGTGTCTTGTTGCTGGGCAACAGGCCTTTATAAATAGTGAAATAATGTGATTTATAGCTGTTTATTTAAACAGTGAATATTAGTATGATTTATGTTTGTTTTTTCTAATCCAGGGCATGCAAAAGACTTTCTGTACACGAGGCAGGGGCGTAATCCAGTCATTGATGGTGTGGACGACACCAAGGAGCTCAGTAACACACGGAACGCCTTCACATTGTTGGGTAAAATTCTTTTATTCACAACATATAGAAAATATGCATTTTATGTTTGAAATTAGTAAAATGTACTTTTTATTGTTTACATAGTTGTTGTGTTTAAGTAGTTAATAGCAAGTATGTGACGTGATGTCAGGTGGGGCTCACGTAAGCAAGTTGCTTCCACCCAATCCTTTTTTGGTTGTAACATAGTCAGTGAATGTAATATGTTATTAATCAAACAATTGACCATATAAGCATCATTCATTCATTCACATTTAAACTGACGGCATATATGCCGTCACTGTGTTGGTTTCACCATTATGTGTGTATTTCTTTGACAGGTATAAATGAATCATATCAGATGGGCCTGTTTCAGGTGCTGGCTGCTATTCTTCATCTGGGGAATGTAGAAATAAAAGACAGAGATTCTGACAGTAGCATTATACCTGTACGTATTTAAGGCTTCTTGCATCACAATAGTGTCTACACTCGGATGTAACTTTGCTCTTTCTGATTAGCCAAACAATAGCCATCTGACGTCCTTTTGTGAGCTGGTGGGGGTCAGTTACCAGGACATGTCCCAGTGGCTGTGTCACCGGAGGCTGAAGACGGCCACAGAGACCTACATTAAAACTCTTCCTCGTCTTCAAGCCACAAACGCCCGAGATGCTCTGTCCAAACATATCTATGCCAAGCTTTTCAACTGGATCGTGGAGCACGTGAACAAGGCCCTAATAGCAAACGTCAAACAACACTCATTCATTGGGGTCCTCGACATCTATGGGTAGGTGTGTTACATGCAAGTTATGGTTTGCAATGGCCAACAAATATGATAAAATCTAAATTAACTATATATTCAATCTTAAGGTTTGAGACATTTGACATCAACAGCTTTGAGCAGTTCTGCATAAACTATGCAAATGAGAAACTTCAACAACAGTTTAACATGGTGAGTGACCTTTGGTAAACAATTGGAACAATTGGATTGTGTGCTGTTGAAATGAGAACAATGTGCCGTACATAACTTCTTTCTGTGCATATGCAGCATGTCTTCAAGTTGGAACAGGAAGAATATATGAAGGAGCAGATTCCCTGGACTCTCATAGACTTTTATGACAATCAACCCTGCATTAATCTTATAGAAGCCAAAATGGGAATCCTGGATCTCCTCGATGAAGAATGCAAAGTAATTATCTTGAAAATGTGCCTGTAAACCTGATGAATAAATACACTAGTTTTCACATATATGAAGTATGTTACAAACCGTTCATTTACTACAGAGAACTTTAGCCATTTATGGTTTGTTGACTTTTGAGGCAGTCCAGATCGTTACACCATTTAACACTACGCTGAAGAATTAGTTTCGTTTGATTTTTATTATTCTATTGTTTCCAGTTAAATATATGTGTCTTTTCCTCCAGATGCCTAAAGGTTCAGATGATTCCTGGGCACAGAAACTGTACAACACACATCTGAAGACTTGCTCTCTGTTTGAAAAACCACGCATGTCCAACCGCGCCTTTATTATACAGCACTTTGCTGACAAGGTGGGCTTCTGTCAATTTGCAATAGGGCCAGCCACACAAAACGTTTACGTCACATGCAATTGTTTTGTTTTGCTTTATTTGTAGGTAGAATATCAGTGTGAGGGCTTCCTGGCGAAGAACAAGGACACTGTTAATGAAGACCAGATTAACGTGCTGAAAGCCAGCAAGGTGAGCTGCACAGACTGCTTTTGTCTACATTCATGGGCTAATACACAGCTGCGTTTGAGATACTGTGGTTTTAAACCTGAAACATCTGCGAGGCAGCGCCCTCTGCTGATCATATTAGGTAATTGTGAAAAATTACATTACTCTGTGAATCATTTGCTTGTTGTCTGTAGAATCCCCTGGAATATAAATTATTTGCAATTTATTCATTCATTCATTTTCTTAGTCCATTTCTGGGTTGGGGGTTTGACAATGAGAGTTGCCACCTAATGCTCATAGCACCAGTCCCATGCTGATCCTCTGCAGGTGGTGAGTCCACAGCAAGATGGCTGCTACATTAGTGGTGCCACAGCTTTGGTGTTTCAGCTCGAGGTTTAGGCAATGTGGGGTTAAGTGTCTTGCCCAAGGACACAACGACAGCAGACATTAGTGGGAGCAGTTGGAGTAGGTCCTGAGGTGGGCTCGAACTCACAACCTTCCAGCTCAAAGGCCAATGTTCTACCAATTGAGCTACTGTCGCCTCAAAATCATGTAATTTATGTTATATAAAAACAAATATCATATCACGCTTGATTCATGCAGGTTTTCATTTTAATAGTAAAAATATAATAAATGTAACCCACAATACATTTTCCAGTCGAGTCATATTCAGCACATTTGAGTTCAGGTCGTCTCTGACTGGGATCACAGTTCCTCTTCAGTAAAGTCCTGTTTGAAGAGGATCATACGGTGTATTTCGTGGTTTTCCACTGTTGTGAGGGCACTCACATCATATGTTTGTCCAGAATCTTCCTCCAGATTCCACTCATCAGACCAATGCAGACAGAACTTCTCATTACTACATTTAAATGTGTTCATATGTCATTGTAATGCCCTTGTATTTGTCTCTCATTGTGTTTTCATGTGTTATTTGTGTTGTCTTCATCATGACATCCCTCCCTCGTCAACAGAAGGTAAAATCGGGTGTTGAACTGTTTCACCTCATGTGTTTGTCACTAACAGCACTTTGGAACTATGTTGGTGTGACAGCTGCATTTTTCAAAAATGCGCTCGCCTCACGGTGCTGGAGAAAGTGCATGACAGGAAGACGTCATACATAACACCACTTCTTCCTCATATAACCTGCAGGTTATATGCTACTTTGTTGCCTACATTAAACAATGGCCTAATTTGTATAACATGCATTTCATTCAAATAATCCACTATTATTTCACTAATAATCAGATTATGAATCATTTGCTTACATCACTGAAACTTAATCTAATAATGTTTAGTAACTTTGTGATGCATTGCTCCAGGTTTTTCAATATCTGCCGACACCCAAAGCTCAACATAGCCGTGATCTGAGGGGGGATAAATGGCGATGAACAACGGGGTCCAGTTGGGTTAACAGTTTTTTATCCTGTGAATATGTTTTAGTAGAGATAAAACTCCTTTACAGGCACACACTTGTCAGAACTTCATATTCTTATACCCTTAGTTGAAAGGCCCAATCAGGATATCTGCTTATCCGATATCACCAAACCGATACCAGAGCCAACAGACTTGACCGTAGAACAACCGACACCAGGACGGTATCAATGCATCCCTTGGAACTTATTTCGAACATTTTCCAAATGTTATATTTGATTCTCACTGCACAATTGTTTATTTTTCTTTCAGTTCAACCTGTTGGTGGAGCTGTTCCAGGATGAGGAAAAAGTCACCAGTCCGACTGGACAAGCCCCTGGGACCGGAGGCCGAACGCGGCTCAGTGTCAAACCAGACAAGAGTCGAGAAAAGAGCAGCAAGGAACACAAAAAGACCGTCGGCTGCCAGGTGCATGTTCTCCAGGCTTCAAGCTGAAATAATCATGTCTAATACACTGTCCTCAGGGCATCACGGGGGCTTTTGTTCATATGTTGTTCATTTTTGTCTGTCCCACAGTTCCGGAACTCTCTTCAAATGCTCATGGAAACTCTGAATGCAACAACCCCACATTATGTTCGCTGTATTAAGCCCAATGACTTTAAGCAGGCCTTTAAGTGAGTGTTTTCCTTCTCATTATATTCAGTCATGGCATCCTAATAGTATTAATTTTCATATTTGAATATAATATTATATCTATTTGAATTTCTTTCCCTTGATCAGCTTTGATCCTAAACGTGCAGTGCAACAGCTGAGGGCCTGTGGCGTGCTGGAAACCATCCGTATCTCTGCAGCAGGATTCCCATCCAGGTCAAGCAAAGGATGGTTTTGGACTATTTCACAAACTGTTCTGTTGCTGAGTTCCACTGTGTTTCCTCCCCAAGGTGGACCTATCAGGAGTTCTTCAGTCGGTATAGAGTGTTGATGAAGCAGAAGGACGTCCTCCCTGACAGAAAGTTAACCTGCAGGAATGTCCTGGAGAAACTTGTTCAGGTAGAAATATAACCTCAATAGAACAAAGTAATGCATGCATAAAATGTTCAGTAATCAACCTGTTCCCCTTTACCAGGATCAAGACAAATACCAGTTTGGAAAAACTAAAATCTTCTTCCGAGCTGGCCAGGTGGCGTACCTTGAGAAGCTCAGGGCAGACAAACTGCGCGCCGCGTGCATCCGTATCCAGAAAACGATTCGCTGCTGGCTCGCTCGGAAAAAGTATCTCCGCCAGCGCAAGGCAGCCATCACAATTCAGAGGTTCACCCGAGGATACCAGGCCCGCTGGTTTGTGCTTTCATTCATAATATCTATCCATTTTATTTACTGTATATACCACATTTTACAGACAAGACTGTTTTCAAAGTGCTGCACAGGTAATGAAAAAAATGCCCCATGTGATTTTACACATAAAACCAGAAAAAGCAACTAAGAGTGGAATCATATTACATATTACATCTGTGAGGTCCTTAAAACTATGCACTGTATTCTGTTTGCAGACGACACCAGTCTCTACTGTTCAGGACAAAATCTTGAGCAGCTTATGGAAAAAACTGGAAATGAACTATTAATATTAAAGAAATGGTTTGATTACAATAAATTATCAATGAACGTGAGCAAAACTAAATATATTATTTTTGGTAATAAAAAAAATTGGCTTTCCGACCAAATTAAATATAGATCAAATTGAAATAGAGAGGGTGTACAACACAAAATTATTGGGAGTTAACATTGACGCAAAACTTAACTGGAAAATACATATAGAGTACTTGAAGACAAAGATATCTAAAATGATTGGAATATTGTGCAAAATTACAAAAATTGTTAACAAAAAATCATTACACCTATTATACACCTCACTAATACTGCCATACTTGCATTATTGTGTGGTTGTGTGGGGGAATAATTATAAAACTTAAATTCAGCCTCTCTTCTTAATGCAAAAGAAAGCAATCAGAATAATCAATTGTGCAGACTATTATTCATCATCAAATCCATTATTTATAAAATCAAATACCCTAAAATTACATGATATAGTTGACCTAAATACAGCAGTTGTCATGTACAATGTTCACAATCAGAATGTCCCTAAATGCATCCAGGAAAGGTTCAACACCAGAGAATCAAATTATAATCTTAGAGGAACTGACATTTACCAAAGGGTCACTGCCAGGACCAAAGCAAAGTGTAGATGTGTCTCAGTTAGAGGAGTTGCTGTCTCGAATGGTCTGGATGAGTCACTAAAGAAAACTACATCCATCAAGATTTTCAAAAATGTCCTTAAAATTCATGTTATAAATAAATATAGAGAATTAGAATAAATAAATAATATTAAAGCAATTATCAACATTATTATTATTATTATTATTATTACTATTATAATATTGTTTATATCATCAAAACAATTTATATGAATCCTCATTTACCTACATGTCTTTTCTGCAAAAATATAGATATGTATTTTCTATTGTTTTTCCATGCTGAAAGCTAATTGTTGCTGTTTTAGTTGTTCTGGTTATAGTAAGCTATAGTAGGGTTAGGCTTCTATAAGTGTTTCACTTCAGCCTAAACCCTTTCAGTCAACTTTACTTTTTACTTTATTTTTTTCAAATGATCTGTATTGTCTGAGTTGTGAAAAAGTGACTGAACAAATAAACTACTACTAAAATAAACTACTACTATATTAAATGGAAATAACATTGAAAAAGAAAATGGTTAAAAGAAATAAAAACACAGAGGACCTAGATGTTTTCTATACCCTCGGTCCAGTCCGGCGGGTGGTAAATTTGGATGAGGTCCGAGATGCACCGTGGGGATATTCCACACAAAGCCTTAAAAACAAACAATATACTGTAACTATACTCTAATTTCTAAAACTAACCTCTTGCCCGTTTCTCTGTAGTTTGGCAAAGTTCCTGCGGCGCTCTCAGGCAGCTACCACAATCCAGAAGTACCAGCGCATGTATGTGGAGAGGACACGGTACAAGAAGAAGCAGGCGGCGGCTCTGGCGTTGCAGCGGATCCTCAGAGCTTACATGGCCCGTCAGAAGTACATAGCGGTAAAATAAATGGAGAAAAGTAAAGTATGTCTGATGTTTTTGAGCGCTTCTCTAATAGGATTGTGTTTGCAGCTTGTGCGGGAGGCTAAGGTTATCATCATTCAAAAGCGAGTCCGCGGGTGGCTGGCTCGGTGCTGGTACAAGCGCTGCCTCTCCTCCCTCGTTTACCTGCAGTGCTGCATGCGGCGGATGAAAGCCAGACGCGAGCTGAAGAAGCTGAAGATTGAGGCTCGCTCTGTGGAGCACTTCAAGAAGCTCAACAAAGGAATGGAGAACAAGATCATGCAGCTGCAGAGGAAGATTGATGAACAGGTCATTTTCCTCAATTAGTTCAAGTGTTTCCCATGCGTTCTGTGGCTAAGATCCTTTCTGTCCTCTATTCCCTCAGAACAAAGATAACCGTTTGGTCATCGAGAAGCTGGCAAACGTAGAAAGTTCATACACAGCAGAGAGCGAAAAGATGCGGACTGAGCTCAATAAACTTCGTGGTGTGGAAGAGGACGCGAGGAACAAAACAAACCAGTTGTCGACACTCATGGAGGAATTGCAGCGGTTAAAGAAAGAGCTTAGCACCACGCAACAAGAAAAGAAAACTATTGAGGACTGGACACACAACTACAAGAGCGAAATGGAAAAGGTGAGACTAAAACTTTCTATTGCTGCCAATTTCACAAAACATGTAGTAGTTGGGATCCTGTAGAAGGGTTTTTGCCTGTTGTTTATAATTTTCATTATGGAAAAAGTATATTTCATTTCCTGCAATTCAGGAGACAGAGCGATCACGGGGAACAAGGGCAAATGGTGGGGTCAGAAATCACTATTGCCCCACTTCAGGTGAGAGTAGGCTGTTGGCTCAGATCCCTGTAGTCCTAGAAAACATACTAGCTAATAACCTGTATTACGTACATTTGTTTGCTGTGGTAACATCTTTATCTAGCAGTGCCTTTAGACACCATTTTCATACAGAAAAAGCCACCGCAGTGTGAAATATGAAGGGTAAATATGTTGTGGTTTTAGTTGGTGGCAGAACTCAAGGAGCAGAATGGATCGCTGAAGAAAGAGAAGGACGATTTGAACAGGTCGATTCAGGAACAGAGTCAGCAGATGACCGGTAAAAACAACAACATGAATAACACAGTAAATATGCATGCTATGAAAGAAAAAACATTGTGCCTTTCACAGAGAAAATGGCTCGAGCAATAGCACAGGAGACTCAGCAGCTCGAAACGGACTTGAACGAGGAGCGCTCTCGTTACCAGAATCTCCTCTCCGAACACCTTCGCCTGGAGGAGAAGTACGACGACCTGAAAGAACTCTCTTCGGTAAATACTAGATACTAGATTTTATTATTATTATTAATCCTTCAGAATGTCCAAAAGTATTCAAAGTTAAGTATTAAATTAGAAAGTTAAGGCCTTTTAAGAATTAAAAAGTCTTGATCATGGAGCCACCAAAGGGCTATGTTGTCACCAGGGTCTGTTTGTTAATAGTTCATTTCATTGGGGCTGCATGTATGAAATGTGGTTATTATTATTATTATTATTATCGTTATTATATATTAGTTATTTAGCAACATAACTCAAAAGGATAGAGGTGGACTTTTACCAACTTCTCAGTGAATCTCAGAAGTGAGACAAAGAAAGAAAAATGTATTAAAAAATAGAAAAGTCCCTGGGTTCAGACCTGATCACCTCTTGGCGGCGGTCTGCGATCTACAAGTACTATTCTAGATGGTGTTAGTTATTGGATATAGATTAACAAGCAGTGAAAGATGATCTAACGCTAATTTTGTGACGATAGCACAACTCCAAACCTGGGCACAGGAGAACAGACTCCACTCACAGCAGCAACGAGTCCGAATACACCTACAACTCAGAATACACCGAAGCGGAAGACGGCTCCAGAACCAGAGAAGTAAGAGGACCATGGTTTGTGACGATGGGACGTTGGGACACTCAAATATGTGTTTTTTTTTTATCTCACGCAGGACGTAACGCGAGGACTAGACACATCCCTCACTCTAAAGCTCCAGAAACGCCTCACAGAGCTAGAGCAAGAAAAACAGTCTCTGCGCAACGAGTTAGAAAACAAAGAGGATCAGTACCACCGGGCCAGAGCCAGGGTACAAACAACACACAAACACATTCACTAATCATCATTTCACAGACGTTCCAAATAAACGTGTTCTGTCTTTAGGATGATGCAGAGTTTAAAAAGGCACGTGGAGCAGAGCTTGAGTACGAGTCCCTCAAAGTAAGACTTTTTCATATAATTACATTAGTTATGAAAGACGGTTTACAGTGTGGGAACTTTTTTCAGTTCCTGCTGCAATTACTAATTATTAACTCCTTTCTGGGCCTTGTCTCCACATACTTAGTCAAGTCCTTACTGTGTGTAAGATAATACTTTTTCAGCTTCTGTTTTGGAAGTACTTTTCAATCGGACCCAAGCAGTAGTAGTATGACCATGTTTATTGTGGCGCCACCTGCATGTGAAGCTATGCAGGGCCTGGTTTGTACTGTGATGGGAGACCTCTGGGAACAACAAGTGCCACAGTGGGGCGGCTGCGGCTGTAAAGTGACAAACAGTTCTTGTGTCCAAGAAACTTGATCCATATTGGCTAGAATGAGTGGTGTGTGTTTTATTGGTGGAGATGCCGATGACATCTACTGGTTCTGTCAGTGTGCCCCTAGGGCGGCTGTGATTTTAGTTGTAGTTTATCACCACCGTGTATGGAGTGAAAGAATAATGCCAAGTGTCTTAAAAACCGTTATACAAAACTGAATTATTATTATTACTACTAATAATTTAAAAAATATGTTACGTGGTGTAGTGTATGTGGAAAGAGATTTTTTGCTCATTTCTCAGTTAACTGCTTTTTTGCTTATTACCCGTATAATTCAATCTTTGCCCACACTGTGACCATATTTATTACAGAAAATCATGTGTTTAATTGGGACTTTGTGATGTAGGGCCTACTTCTTGGTACTGGTTTGTGCATAGACTGTCAAATGCATTTTTAAAAACAAATCTTTTTTTTCTTCTTAGCGTCAGGAACTGGAGTCTGAGAACAAGAAGTTGAAGCATGACCTGGCAGAGATGAGACGGAGCTTGCTGGGAGATAAGGCGTCTAACACGGGTGCTCCTGGTTCTCCTGCATACAAGGTTCTCTTGGACCAACTCAACTCCTCCTGTGAAGAGCTGGACGTGCGCAAGGAGGAGGTGCTGATCCTGCGCTCCCAGCTGGTCAGTCAAAAGGAGGCCTTCCACCACAAGGTAACAGCCGTTTTTCTCATGTGTTCATTTGCTGTTGTGCCATTACTGAAATTTGTGTGTAGTTTTGTAAAATGTTATTCCATTTACTCCCATGTGAAACCTGTAATGATGTCATTATAACCATGTACAGAAGTATTCTACCTTTTAAACAAAAGTATTCTTCAATAATTATAGCAATTTCTTAGGTGAAACAAGTTATTTTACATTTGCCTGGTTATTTTTTAATTAGATCTACTCCTCCCTCTAGTGGCTGCATAGGTAGATACACATGGGATATATTTTCTACTTCAGAATTCTAAAACATGAATGCACAATATGATGCACATTATGTTTTGTTTAAATATGTCTAATGTTGCTATCCTCACCTTCTCTCTTCCATCCATGCTTGCCAACAGGATGAGAAGGTACAGTGTTTTTAATGCTTTTATCAAGTTGTCTAAACTGCAGCCTTTAAACGCTGTTGTTGCTTTCACCTGCTCTTAGACATACTGTAGATCTGCTGCATGTTCATCAGTTTTTTGAAAACTTCCAAACCACAGCACAGTTTGGTCTCAGGAGTCCTTTATCCAAAGCACAATCTTTCTGGCTTTTAGATTCAGTGGACACATTTTCACCATGACAGTGTGAATACTGAATTACAGTCCGCTGTATTCTTGTGGAGCACATACTGCACGGTTTTAGTGTTGCCTTCGTACTATTTGATTGTGAGCCCGAGTTCACCTCAAATATTAGTGGAACCTGCTACAATTACACCGAAAATATTATGTTAAGACTGTTCTTTTTTAATTTAAAATAACTTTTTATTCATTGTCTTGTCTGCAGGAAACCATGACGGAGCCTTCTGTCTTTGCTAAAGATGTCTCCAAGCTCAAAGACGCTGATGAACTGAAACAGGCCTACGTGGGGCTGAAAGATACCACCAGGTACTTTTGTTGGGGTTGTTTTCCCTTGATCAAAGTTGGGGTCTTCTTTTGGATGGATCATCATGTATGTGAAAATATTTGTCCTGTGCAGATCTCCTAGGTTCATGCCCAAGTCTCTGGACATGAGTGAACTTCTAAATAGGCTCAGGTAAAAGCGGAGTGGCCAGTGCATCATGGGTGAGCATGAATGGCCACCATGTTGCCAGCTGCTGAACAGGGTTGTAAAAGCAAGGCAATGAGCAAAGTGAAAAATGACTGGTTTCTACTTGCATAGACCCAAATAAGAAGATTGTTCGAAGAGTTTTACTTCAGTTAGGCTTTTGAATGTGCATGGCTTATAAGGTTTACCATCTAAAAACTTGACGCTTTAGCGACCTATTCAGCTTTTCTGTGATCAGGGGTCTCAAACTCAAATTATTTTTGAGCAGCTCGAGGTCAATCTGGGAGAGACTGGGACGTATATTCATAAATCCAGGTGCTATAAGTGCAAACATTTTGATAATTTCACTTCTAATGTGTTCCAGAAAAAGTGTCTCAAACCTTTTTATTCACACTTTTAAATACGAGAGTAGAAAGAAAACTGGATACCAAGGAATCCAGACTTTTTCTTTATATATATATCCAGACTTTTTCTTTATATATATATAATATATATATATATTATATATATATATATATAATATATATATATATATTATATATATATATATATATATTATATATATATATATATATATAATATATATATATATAATATATATATTTATATATATATAATATATATATTTTATATATATATATATATTTTATATATATATATTTTATATATATATATATTTTATATATTATATATATATATAATATATATAATATATATATAATATATAATATATATATTATATTATATATATATATATAACGTATCACCTTATTAGCCCAAGCTCCCATTGGGGGCCGCACTGACAATAAGTTGGGGGCCACAAACTATCTTTTAGCGCTGCAAAAGCCACATGTTTGAGACCTCTGAATGATTTGATTATACAGATTCGTTTTTACTGAATAGCATCAAACATTTTAAGCGATTTTCTTGCAGCCTTTGCCGTCCAACTGTCTCCAGCCTCATGAAGCTGTTTCAGCATGAACCCTGCATGTCGATGCTTGTGGGAAAGAAAACCTTTCCAATGGAATGGCTTTGACTTTCAATTTCATTTTCTGCATCTGTGCTTCACGACCAGTTAGGCATTTGACATAATATTTTTCCAAAAAATTGTGTTCTTTCTATGTACATTTAGAAACTATTTTTGGCTGATGGTTACTTCTACCCTCTCCACATGACGGAATGTCCCTCACACTCATTCGTCCATGTGTGCCTCCTGTTTTCTTTCAATTGTCACTTGTCACCTCATTGCTTTACATACTGTGTGCCATGATCAATCCCAACTCATGTATGTCTTATTGTTTGTCCTCTGTATGTTCACATTTCCTTGTGTTTTTGTGGTCAGATCAGCTGCACCCGACATCCATAAGCTGAATGAGGATGGGGAGCTGTGGCTGGTTAATCAGGGCTTAAAGGAGACAATCAGGTGTAACTGTGGTGCTATGCTTTGGTGTATGGTTTGCACATCCACTACCACTGGGTCTCTTACACTTTCGGACACACTGGGTTCATTGCTATTGATGTTTCATTGTGTGGTGGTGGTTAAAGTGTGTCATTTAACTCAAAAGTTGACTAAATTTGGTTAAAATCTTGCTGTAATTGATTTACTAACAATTAACATAGGAGTTCTTTGCACAGGGTTAAGTTGCTTGGTTGAAATTGAAGCATAAAAGCTGTGTGGCTTCTTGACAAAGCAACACAAGGCACAAGCCATCTCTTTGCACTCGCCGTCTCAGCAGCCTGACGCCGCTGTGGCAGAAGTTCAGGCGCGTTTCAGCATGTCTCTATAGAGCTCGGGAATGAACGTCAAAAAATAACTCTTACCGTGATCTATTACTGTGGAAATGTATTGAAAAATGCCATGTGTGCAGCTCAATGGCTTAAAACAACTATCTAATTATGCTAAATATTAGATTGTAGATCCATCTTGCTCAAACATGTACCTCTGCCTCTTCTAGCTAAAAGTTCCTGTCCCTGTCCTGTGGTAGTATGATGCATTTACACAACTATGACGTCTGTGTTAATTCGCTTCCTCGATGGTGGTTTAGGGAGTTGCACGCAGATTGAATCGCTTTCCTTGTACATCCCATTCTAAAACTTGAAAAGTAAAAGTCTCATAATTTTAATGGCCCAAAAATAATGCACAATTTTTCTTCTTTAAAGTGCTAAGGCCTATGACAGGTCTTAATGATTTTATATTGTGGAATTGGAATGTCAGTAATTAAACATACATTTTAGTGTAATACCCATGTGCTCAACAACCTGTAATACATTTATTTACAGACCTCTAGAATCCCCATGCTGATGCTTTGTGGCGTGATATCACAATCCCGAGCTCTAGTCAGGGTCATCGTGGCCGTGGGTTTTTCCTTTAGCCTCCTGCACGACCTGTCGGCCGCGTCCCTGGCGTGTGAGTGAGATCCTTGTGTTTGCCGTCAGGTTGTTGGAGCAGCAGCTGCAGACTCAGCGCAGGACTCATGACAACGAGGTGGAGTCTCTGCGCGGCGAGTTGCAGAGTGTGAAGGAGGAGAACAACCGGCAGCAGCAGCTCCTGGCCCAGAACCTGCAGTTACCCCCAGAGGCGCGCATCGAGGCCAGTCTGCAGCACGAGATCACGCGCCTCACCAACGAAAACCTGGTACGCCACACACGGCTGCACAATATCAGAGCGGAGCAGATGCACTCAGACCTGCTGTGTATTTGAGCCACATTATGCGGAGGTGCACTATTATACATAGAGTTTAATGTCTAATTTATATACTTTCGAGACAGAGTGAAGGTGTTGCAGCCATTCAAACCTCAGCATTATACATTTTCTTCTGTGACAAAAGTATAGACATCTTTATAAGGATAAATTCATAGAGACAAAAGTCATTCAATCTTTTTGACTATGTAACAATATTCTTCTCTCATAAACAAACAGACCTTGCAGTGTAATCATGAACGTCTTTATCCTGTAATAATAATTTCCTTTGGTCATAGGGAGTTACAGGGGGATAGCATTTTTATATGATGCATAATTATAATCAATGTAATATATATTATAGGGAATTTCTTCTTTAATATCTTGAAGGTGAAAGATTCGTCATTTATTGTTTTGGTTTCCTATAAGCTTCAGATATACCAAGTGATTTTAATACAGATACAAAATGTGTATGTTTATCTAAAAAAAGCATTGGCCTAAAGCTGCTTCATGGCCTAGGTTTTTTGTGGGCGGTATCCCATGAAAAACACAGTGTCACGGGTCGATACAGGATCAAGTCTTGAGATATTCTTTACAGTAACATCAAAGTACATGATTCACTTGTGTGGGCGATGTCACCTGACAGGAGCTCTTGACCGATGACCCCGCTGAATCCCGAGAGGCCCGAGTCGTCATTTTGCGGCGGATGGTCGTATGTAACGCTGGGACATGCATCTCTGTGCCTCCTGTCTGCATGCGTCACAACTAACCGAATTTAAGCTCTACTTTCAAGTTGACGCTTTAACAGAAAAGTTTCACGCCTCACAGACAAGCAGCTTTCCTCTTCTTTGAATCCTGCCTTGCTCTTTTTCAAGATAATCAGATTCAAATCAAATGTTACGCTGTACGCTTCCCGTCTTAAGCCCTGATTACCTACTTGCCATAATGTCAGCTTCTTTTTGTTGTTTTAGGATCTCATGGAGCAACTTGAGAAACAGGACAAAACCATTCGTAAACTCAAGAAACAGCTGAAAGTTTACTCCAAAAGGATTGGAGAAATGGGAGGTAATTATTTTGCAGGACTGACTAAGAAACAGAGACAGAAATGACATTGTTCTCTTTTGGATGGACATTAAAACCAAGTTATTGTTGTAGGTAAAACATAATCTTCAATACTGCATTATTTAAGCATCAACTGACTAATTGATTTAATTATTACACCCACACACACACACACACACACACACACACAAACGTTACAGCATTGTGTGTTTTTCCAGCGGGCCAGACTGAGGGCCAGACGTCTCCAGGACAAGTCGTGGAGGAGCCTATTCATCCTGTCAATATTCCTCGGAGAGAGAAGGACTTCCAGGGAATGTTGGAGTACAAAAAGGAGGATGAAATGAAACTAGTCAAGAACCTTATTCTTGGTATTTACTAATTTGTAAAACGTGAAAAAGATGGTATGTGGAATACAGTATTCAGTGTTTATATTAATTTTGAATTCCAGAGCTGAAACCCCGAGGTGTTGCGGTGAATCTGATCCCAGGTCTTCCAGCGTACATCCTGTTTATGTGTCTGAGACATGCAGACTACGTCAACGATGACCAGAAAGTCCGAACTCTGCTGACCTCCACCATCAACAGTATTAAGAAGATCCTAAAGGTGGGTCTCCCTGCGTGTGTATGTGTGTGCATGTGTGCGTATAACTTGTTCAAAACCATGTACAAATGTATTTCTCTCCCACAGAAACGTGGGGATGACTTTGAGACCGTCTCATTTTGGCTCGCAAACACCTGCCGCTTCCTGCACTGTCTGAAGCAGTACAGTGGAGATGAGGTGAGATACACACACATCACGATACTTTGTTGAACACAGTCATGTAAGAACGTAAATAAAGACCTTTGTGTTTGACAGGTCTTCATGAGACACAACTCTTTGAGGCAAAATGAACACTGCTTGTCAAACTTTGACTTGACGGAGTACAGACAGGTGATCAGCGACCTTGCCATCCAGATCTACCAGCAGCTGGTCAAATGCATGGATAACATCTTGTGGCCCATGATCGGTGAGTGCTGTTGGATTCATGTATTCTTCTGCTTATCAAAATCACTTGTGGTGGAGGTTGAGGTGCGTGTGTCTTGTGCGCAGTGTCCGGGATGTTGGAGCATGAGACCATTCAGGGCGTGTCCGGCGTGAAGCCCACAGGTCTCCGAAAGCGAACGTCCAGTATCGCTGATGAGGGCATCTACACTCTGGACTCCATCCTCCGTCAGCTCAGCGCCTTCCATTCCACCATGTGTCAGCACGGCATGGACCCCGAGCTCATGAAGCAGGTGGTGAAGCAGCAGTTCTATATCATCGGGGCGTTTACCCTCAACAACCTGCTTCTGCGTAAAGACATGTGCTCCTGGAGCAAAGGCATGCAGATCAGGTACATGGCATTTACTGAACATGTGAGCTGTAAAACTCTCTCACATTAGTCCAAACTAAGAGCGCGTTGTTGTACAGGTACAATGTGAGCCAGCTAGAGGAGTGGCTCAGAGACAAGGGGCTGATGGGATGTGGAGCCAAAGAGACTCTGGAACCCCTGATTCAGGCGGCACAGCTGCTGCAGGTGAAGAAGAAGACTGATGAAGACGCTGAGGCCATCTGCTCCATGTGCCAGGCCCTCAACTCTGCTCAGGTACTGAGCCAATGGCAGAATAATAGATATCTTTAACTCTGTCACTGTGACTGTCGGTGATGTCTCTGTCGCCTGTTCCAGATTGTGAAGGTGTTGAACCTCTACACTCCAGTCAACGAGTTTGAAGAAAGAGTTTCGCTGGCATTTATAAGAACAATACAGGTAACGTTTGGTTGGATTATTAAGCAATCATTTATAAGATATTAGTAATATTTCGTTCAAAATAATGAGTCAGATATAATCACATTGTTAAGCTTATTGTTCATGTTAACATTTCAAATGTTTGTCTTAAATTGCAGACACGCCTACGAGACCACGGCGACAGTCCGCCCTTGTTGATGGACACAAAGATGATTTATCCGGTCACGTTCCCGTTTCATCCTTCCACTCTCGCTCTGGAAACCATTCAGATTCCAAGTTCACTCAACCTGGGCTTCCTCACGCGAGTCTAATGTGGAAGCTCCAGCATTTACTTGTTTTTAGAATATTTAAAGACAGATCATGTTATTTGTTGCAGGCAATGATGAATTGCTTAACATACAAATGTAATAAAAAAATAAATACACTTATTTATACAGGTATTTCACCCTTTCAAAAAAGCATTAAAATACACATATGGTTATTCAAAGCTTTTGACACCAACATACCACCCTTTGCTCTTCTCTTGTAAAATGCCATGAAGCGGTAATAATGTAATAATGTCATGGAGATTGTGATCCTCTTCCTCTCTTAGTGGGAGATGTAGTCTCCTAACCCTGCATTCTCTTTCTGCTTGTATTTAGATCTGCTACTCTAGACCCATAGACTATTTTAGACCCTGGTTGCCTGTTACCTTCTTCTCACTTCACTATAAAATGTGGCCTCCAGAAGAAAAATGCTGTTAAATCCAACTATAAATCTATGTGAAGATTAAGCTGTTTTGAACCCATCATCAATGACTGGTGAGATGTTCCACTGAAAACATCTGTCCGCCTGAATCCACCATTCTAAACCTATTTAATATAAACGAGAAGTCTATATGTCATCCATCTGACGTATTCCAATCTCCAGTTCCACATAACTGTTTAAGGCTTTAGTTCATGTCTGATACTTGAGTTGAAGATGTTAAGTGAACACCAGCTTTAGTAGAAGTACATTTGAGAGCATGATTCTCTCTCCTGTGTCGTCTGTGACGTTCTCTGCTGTTTGGGACAATGGAACACAAGTTTGGATTCTTTTGCTTTGAACAGAGCAGTAACTTGTTCTCACCACTTAAACGGCTATTTATTAACACGCAGTTGAGCACGGTGCTTAAGTTTGATTCTGAATCAAAATCCACGGCACGCATCAACTCCAACTGCAGCCATTCAGTCATTTCAGTCAAGTTCAGCACTTTTTTTTTTTTTTTTTTACGTTGCCATTCCATGTTTTACCTTTAACCGTATTTGCCTCTTTTCACTTTAAACCCTTTGCATGTTTACACAAAGATTATTGTATTAAAAAAAGACATGGATGATACCCACAGTTATTAAGTTATGTGAGGATAAATAACACAACTTATTTTTTTGGTTTTGTAGACTGATTTTACTTCAGTAGTGACTGATTCCATGACATGAATGTTGCAGATCTGCGCCATCATTTCAGCTGGAAAAGCCTTACCGGACATACATGCATTGTGTTGTTCTGACTGTCCCTAATACGTTGTGGTGCACTGTTCCAAAACGCACTTTTAACATGTCATCAATGACTATAGCAGCTTATTCATGTGTAAAAACAACACCTCCACACTTGAACCGTGGTCCACTGAGAATTTGGATACATAAGTTTACTAAGTGATGTGTCTTGCTTTGTTTAATGTAAATTGTAAAGGCCACTGTTAGTAAGAAATCCATGGGTTTCAATGTACACACCAGAATAGCAGTATTCTTTCAGGGACTTGGCACTAGAGCAAATACTTTTAATCCATCTTAGAATCTGTGCACAGCCTAAACTTTACAGATAGACGTCTTAAAGCCCATCCATGTAACTTTATCAGCACATTTTTACATGTATCATTGCTGGGACATTTGAGACCGAAACACACACATCCTACTTTAGACGACATGGACAGTTTGTAGTTTCCGGTAGCTGTGCTTAGTGAATGTGTGCACTGTTTAGACAAATTGAGAAACTTGTAATAAATGTCAAATCTGTAAAACTATAAAATAAAAGACTTCATCTCTGTGTTTGACTGCAAGCCGTATTTATTTTTTAATGTCACAAAGATGATGTGTGGAAAATGTATTCATCATGACTGCAGTATTATTCATCACAGCTGCAGTTTATTCAAAAGGCTGCACCTCGAGTACTGACATGAACCAGGAAGTACGATCACAATACTCCAGTTCTCAGGTCTCTGGCTTCTTGTTGCCCAGAGAATAGATTTTAAAGCAGTCATGTTAGTGCCATATGAACCAACTCGTATTCTGAGGAGCACAGGGACTGGCCCCCTGCTGGTGCCCAGGGTCAGGATTAAACATGGGCATTTCAGATTCATGCAGCTAAAATCTGTCTTCCTGAAAATGTGAGACAGGCTTCTTCCCTGACAATGTTCAAATCCAGGTTAAAAACAGTTAAGTTTATCTGTGCATACAACTGAGGGATTTTATCTTCACTCTTTTTAATGTACTGTGATTATTTATGATTTGAATGCCTTGTGTGACTGTCTTTATCTTGTTTTGTTCTGCACTTTGAGTTGCCTTGTGAATGAATTGAATTGTGCTATACAAACAAACTTGCCTTGTCTTGCCTATAATTTAAATAGATGTATTTTTTTTTTCCCACCAGTGCACTGCAGTGATAAAACCAGAAGTGTGGAGCTCTGTAGCTTTAACACTTGTTAAGAAGCTTACTGCTCCCACTCTGTCCCTGGTTGACAATCCTCTTCACTAGAAATCACCAGGTTCAAGGGCCCATACCTACGGAGTGGAAAACTACTTTTGTGTTGTGTGAGGTATGTTTCATCTAAAACTATTTTTATATGGCTCTATGTGTGTGTTTTTTTTTTAATCATTGCATTTCTTATGAACTGTTTTATTCTCTGATCTGTGTTGGTGAATTCAACAGTTTTGTGAAGTCCTTTATGATAACTACCGTTGTGATTTATGGGCTATACAAGAATACATTTGATTGATTTGAATTATCACTACACACACTGCTGCTTGGCCTTTACTGTAATGTAAGAGAAGAGAGGCCTGCAGCTTGGTGTGTCCAGGAGCCACTGCCGAGAAGAAGACAACAACTGGGACTGAATATGTGATGACTTGTTGTAATATTGCGTTCTAATTGTAATTTATTGTGTTATAGTCAGAACACCAAGAGATCTTTCCCTCTAACTGCAAGTGGCTTAAAGCTGAATCTGAAGTTATTCGTATTTGTATGCTAGTGTTTTTGATATTACTTAAGTTGTTGCTTCCCAGAATAGCTCCAACATGGCTCCTGTGCTGCTCAGGGGATAAGGCTGTGGTAGATTAGCCTCACTACTTACCATTAGAGGCAGTGCAAGTGCTCATAAACATCCATCTTTCCTTTAGGCCTGAGCTCCTGGGACCATGTGTGACCAAACCTTTGTGGCGGCCACTTTTGGCCCCTGTGAAAGCTGTTCCAAACCAAGTCCTCTCATGAACATTTACATCAAGAATGAACCAATCAACTATTGCTCCTTCTGCGTGGAGATGGTAAAGTACAACTTTGATCTGTGTCCCAACCCCTCACAACAGACATGCACATGAAGAGATGACAGATTCTATGACATCAGCATTACCATACCGCTATTATTAGATTTATTTGAGCAATTACAGTTTGTATAATGTTTAAATAAATTATTTTTTGGCACGGTGGCTGAGTGGATAGCACTCTCGCTTCTCAGCAAGAAGCTCCTGGGTTCGAATCCCGGTCGGAACAGGGACTTTGAGTGGAGTTTGCATGTTCTACCCGTGTCTATGTAGGTTTCCTCCGGGTGCTCCGGTTTCCCCTACCACTAAAAACCTGTAACATAGGTCTGGCATGCACCTCCTGTACTGCCCCGCTCCCATCTCTGTGTGGAGTGAGAAACAAATGCCCAAAAAAAAATACAATTGTAAACCGCTTTGTGACTCTGGTCTGTGAAAGGCGGTATATATATATAAAGATTACTTACTTACTTAAATAAAATGACAAGAATTTTATAAAAGCTGAAATGGAGAAGGCTGAAGCAAGAGAGATCCCATGCTGTCCATTAGAACACATATGTTTTACACAGTGGGAGCTGAGTTGGGCTTTTAGTCTTTCACTGAAAAATTATGATCCAAAAATGTGACAGGGCAAAAATACCGCCAAACAGTTCTGAGAGCGAGATAATGACATAGTTCATATTTTGTGGTGTCAAAGTTACATTCCGTACTCCAGCATTATCTGTGTTGCACTTATTGCCTTGATACTGTCTTGTTCATCAAATGTGCTATATAAATAGTGTTTCAATTGGATGCTGCTCTGAGTGGCCTGTGAGCAGAGGAGGAGGGGCCAGAGGACGCTCCATCAGTGCCCATCCACTATCTACTGTATTCTCACACTCAGCGGGGTCCTAGTCCTAGTCCTGGTCGCTCACATCTCCCTGTGTGTGTTAAAGATGGCCTGCCAGGGGCTGCAGAGCGGAGAGAGTGTGGCGTCCCTGAAGAGAGAGTGCGACAATCTCAAGAAGAAACTGGAGCAGGAGCGCGGGAAACTCAACGACGTAGAGCGTGAGTCCAGTCCAGTGTGTGTGTGTGTGTGTGTGTTTGTGTGTGTCCGTGTGTGCGCGCGCCTGACGCTGCGTTGGAGCGAGGACACACGCTGTGCGCGTGCTGATCTTTTCACGCACCGCGCGAGGTGGTGCTGAATTCATGTCAAAAATTTAACCGGGAAAACTTTCCTGAGATCTGGGAAAAAGGTGTCAGGGCAGGGCCTTGTGTTTCAAGTTCGCACAGGGACTCGCACCCCCCTTGCGACGGGCCTGGCCAGGTGTGAATTTAAAATTCCGTATTTATGCTCTCAATCAAAAACTCTCTATAGACAGGGGTGCACATAAGTGGTACGCAGGTACGCATGCACGCCAAATATCAGAAATGCGTACTATCACTCGAGTTAGTAAGCGCCTTTGCGTACTTCACATAGACCAGTCCTTCTCAAACAGGTGCTCCTCCCTGGGGGGGCGTCGTGCAATGCCAGTGTGACGCAGTATTGCCAACTCCTCAGTAAGGAAAGTAGCTATTGGCTGTCCCAAAAGTCGCTAGAAGTCGCTAAATGACGTCATCGCCTAATTTGCATAATTTGCCATTTGCAAATAACTGTAACGGACGCTGTAGGAGAGAGGAATAAGGTCGTGGGAGAGACAAAAGTGAGTAAAAACACCCTAAATATGTTTAGAACTACAAATGTACAAAAATAATTTCAACATTAACAACATTTAATGATTTTAATGCTTTGTCTAGATCCACATTACACACATCAGTTTTGTCCTGTATTGTTAAATGTTATAACAGCAAATGTAATCAAAAGATTGTTATGTAGGGTGAAATTGCTAGCTCTACAACCAACCCTCCTCCTTTATCCGGGCTTGGGACCGGCAAAGTGACCCAAAAGACACACTCTGGCAGAGTTACTTAGGTTTATTTTTGTAAGTTTTTTTTTTTTTTCATAGTTTGGCATAACAAATGATTTAATGTGACCCACTACTGAGAGAAAACAGAGTCACGGACAGAGCTGCCGCGGATGGAGTGGGGGGTAGTGGGGGGTGGCGGTGGTAGGAGTGGCCGGGGAGCTTTGGATGTGTGGTGGTGGTGGAGCTGAAGTTCAGTCTGCAGCAGCCTGAAAACTTCCTGTGCTTTTGAGTCTCCTCTCTCTCTCTCTGCTCCGCCCATAGACTGTAGCTGGGACTGCTGCGCAAGGCTACTGTGAGACTGGCCGCCTGTAAGTGCTTTGGGACGGGGGAGGGGCTCACGTTGAGGACAGCAGAACAATACGTGCTTCACGAGTCTCCAAAACACCAGATAAGTCGCCAAAACACCAGATAAGTCGCCAATAACACCAGAAAAAGTCGCTAGATTTGTCGCTAGTCGCTTTTTTGAAAAAAAGTCGCTATAGGGGTCTGAAAAGTCGCTAAATCTAGCGACAAAGTCGCTAAGTTGGCAACACTGGTGTGACGGAGCGGTCCGTCTCTAGCTACGTGCTAGAATATAGTATTATACTAAAGGCTGACTTCATACTTCCGAATTAGTTTTAAACTCTTAAGTGGTGACTGGTTAAAGCTGCACTAACTGACTTTGGGATTTTGAAGCCGTGGACTCGCTGGCCTCTCTCTTTCTGCTCCCCTCCCCGCACCCACGAAGCTATCGCCCCCCACACACACCCACTGTTGGGACGGAGCTAGTGTCTTCCAATATAGATAATACATGGATGGCGTGACCATAGAACGATAGAACCGGGAAGCGCGGAGGAACGAGACTATCTTTTGGATGGCTGTCTCGCTGTGTAAGCAGTAACCGGTGACGAAGACGAGAAAGTTTCAGGTTAGCTCCTCGGCTTGTTGTGCTAACTCAGCTGTCTGTGCTAACGGACCTGTAGATTTCTCACGAAAGTGGGAGCTAGTGGTTCGCTGTGATTGGTCACAATCTGCGACCCGAAACACATTCTCTTCCTTGTTTCATCAAAACTCGATCTAAAATATAATGTCACGCCAGCACAAATCTGCGCTACTTTTTCTTCAAAAGGACGTATATCCCAATGCCCTACACGGACATGGATAGCATTTTAGTAATTAATACAAAAATAAAGTCAGTTAGTGCAGCTTTAAGTGTTAGGTGTCTAACACTTCTCCATCCTCCATCTATACCTGCGGACTGCCCTGCCCGACCCGCCTGGGAGTGCTTCAGTCCTGCACCGGACCTGTCTACGTTCAGCGGCCACTGGTCCACGTCCTGTAGTCTGAGTAAGATGGTTATGGTTAGGTTTAAGGCGGTCTGAGTAAGATGGTTAAGGTTAGGGTTAAGGTTAAGGCGGTCAGAGTAAGATGGTTAAGGTAGTCTGAGTAAGATGGTTAAGGTTAGGGTTAAGGTGAGTCTGTGTAAGGTTAGTGTACATACTGTATTTTTTTATTGCAATTATTGACATTCTGTTTTTCTGTAGTAGACAGTATTTTCTGAGCTTTATTAAAACCCGTAATTTGATGTAATTTGAAAAAATGAGCTTGTTGGTTCAGCTATGTAACACAGTTACAATTGTTTATTTATATATATGAAACTTTATTATTTATATATACCCACGCGTGGGTATACACGCGTGGAGTGAGCACGCGTTTTGACGTCTCTGCTCTGTTTACCCTTTTAAGCCTTTTAAAGCCTTTTAAACACGTTTTTACGATGTATTAGTGTCTTTTGTACACTCTAGTGTTTTATTACCTTAAATGCAATGGTTCCAGAGCATCACGTCTTTTAACACAAAGACCCAATCAAAACGCGCTAGCTCGGAGGCTACCATGAGCGCACCACAGACATGGAAAGTGACACTGCAATGACCACGAACGACATTAGTCGCCTCACATTGGAGCTTCGTGAGAGGGACCGTGCCACTATTGCAGACCTCCGTAAAGAAGTCCTTCGCCTCACTGCAGAGCTGCAGGATAAACAGTCACTCGTGTCCAAACTTTTTGATGTCGCTGGCGGGAAGCACTCACGGCTTATGTCACTGAGCGCTGCATACTGTGACACTGTCGTGTGGGAGAGATCTGTCGGCTCTGGGCCCTCTTGTTCTACACCTAAGTGCCCGGTTCGGAATAAAGAGCCTGCGGACTGCGAGGAGCCATCCAGCGCCGTGGCCCATGTCCTGAGCCTTTCAAACCGCTATGCAGCTCTCTCCGCTGACATCCCAGCCCCCTCAGCAGAACCCCTGGACTCTGCAGCAAACTCTACTGCTGTCCGTGGATCCAGGTCCACTGCAAGAAAGACACTCTTAAAGGAAGCTGTCCTCAGACGAAAGAGTGATCATTCCCCGTCTCTGACCCCAGTGCATCACCACCACTTACCTTCACCGGGTCAGCAGCAGCGACCCGAGCCTGCTCCTCACGCCGCTCCAGCGTCTCCGTGCACACAGCGTGGGTTGCCCGGAGCTGGGAATCAACACCCCCACTCCTCTCCATGTGTTCAGCAGCGCCCTGGTCCGGACCCATCCCTGGATGAGCCCGCTGGTTCTGGCCATGGACACCGAGCGCCTTCTCCGCGGCCGCGTCCACTCTTCGCCCCGACTACTCTGATTGTTGGAGATTCCATCGTGAGGCACGTCCGCTTTTTTAACGCGGTCACTCACTGCATTACCGGAGCTACTGTCCCAGATCTGCTCATCCGTCTCCCTCCTCTGCTTCACTCCCTGCCCGATACCATATCCAAGGTAATCGTGCATGTGGGTATAAATGATATGAAGCTGCAGCAGTCAGAGGTCACAAAGAAGCACTTTATGGATCTGTTCCGCCTCCTCCAGTCCTCCGGGTTATCCGTTTTTATTTCTGGTCCAGTCCCGACTGTAAACCGGGGTGACTGCCTCTACAGTCGCGTTGTGGCGCTCAACATGTGGCTCCAGTCTACATGCAGCACTTTTAACTTTATTTTTGTGAACAACTTTGGCCTGTTCCGGAAGCGTCACGTGGCCTATCGTCCAGATGGTCTGCACCCGAACAAATACGGCACCAGTTTGTTGACGGACTTCCTACGCCATGTTGTTCAGTGCTCCCCGAGGGGGGCGTGACTGTTTACATCCGAGGCCTCTCGGCCCCCACCACCCCCCCCCCCCCCCCCTCCTCCTCCTTACCAGCACCGGGTGAGTACTGTGGTGCAAACACTGACCCCTGTCCGTCTGGCAGTGTAACGACAGTCCTGCCACTGAACTGTGCTGACTCAGTTATGCATCTGGAACTTAACAAAGTACAACAGAGTTCACTTTTTAAACCAATAGAGACTGTGTGTGTTCCTCGCACCAGCTCAGAAATGTGTTTTAACTTGAATAAACACAAATTTAAAAGAAGGACAGCAGTTAGACGGTCCAACTCTGGAAATCTAATTCCAGTTCTTTGTGATCAATCAACTAAACCCACTGACACTGATATTAATTTTAACCTTGCTCTACTTAATGTCAGATCACTATGCAACAAATCATTTTTAATTAATAATTTTATCTGTTCGTATGATCTTGATTTTATGTTTATGACTGAAACATGGCTTGACCATAATACAGGAGATGCAGTTTTAATAGAAGCCTCACCACCAAATTTCAAATTTGAACATGAAACACGAGAAAATAAAAGGGGGGGGGGGGGGGCATAGCAGCAGTTTTTAAAGATCGTATTGTCTCCCATAGAGTGTCTCTTGGGAAATTTTCATCATTTGAGTATGTTTCTTTTAAAATAGAACAAAAGAAATCTTCTTCCATTCTTATTATTGTTGTGTACAAGCCGCCACAGTCATGCCATAGTTTCACTGATCATTTCACTGAGTTGCTTTCAGTTGTGTGCACAGATTTTGATGGTTTAGTCATTATAGGCGATTTTAATATTCATGTGGATAATGTTAATGACAGATACGCAAAAGAGCTGAGTTCCATACTTGAATCCTTTGGCCTCACTCAGCATGTGAGTGGCCCCACCCATAGCAGAGGACACACCCTGGACCTGCTTATCACGAAAGGGGTGAATATTTCAAAAGTTAATGTAGTTGAT